GCCACGGTCGGGCTTACCTCGATCGTGGCCAGAGCGCACCTGAGAAGGAGCAGGAGGAGGATGCGGAGGAGGAGGCGGAGGAGGAGGAGGAGGAGAAGGAGCACCAGCAGGATACTAGCTGGAGGAGGAGGAGGAGGAGGAGGAGGACGGATGACAAATAACAGATGGAGGGAGAGAGGGGGGGAGGGAGGGGGGAGGAGGAGAAGGAGCAGGAGGAGGAACAGCAGGAGGCATGAGGGAGGAGAGAAGAGAGAGGAGGAGGAAGAGGAGGAGGAGGACCAGCATAAACCCAACATTCACCAACGATGATGGAATACACCCTTCCTCCAGGCTCCCTCTTCATCTGCCCCCTACGAAGGTTCATGTCCACGAAAGGAATTGCCCCGTGGGGGGACAGCCGTGCGAAAAGCATAGAAAGGGTGCGCAAACACCATGTTCAGGAGTCCAACGCTCCGAGGTAACCTCCCTGGCACGTCTTGGCGATCCTGGATCGTGCCAGGAACACCGTTCTTGGCACCTGTGGCGCGATTGGCATCCCTGAACCGCTCCCAGAAACAATGTCCGCTGCGTCAGCCATGCGAATCAGTTTACCCGTGCAACCTGTGAGAACGAGTGCGCGCGGCGTTGGGGCGGAGGCGGAGGCGGAGGCGGAGGAGGAGGAGGAGGCGGAGGCGGAGGAGGAGGCGGAGGCGGAGGAGGAGGAGGAGGCGGAGGCGGAGGAGGAGGAGGAGGAGGAGGAGGAGGAGGAGGAGGAGGAGTAGGAGGATGGGGAGGGGGAGAGGGAGGGGGGGGGGTCGACCTACGTGTAGTTTGCCCCGAGCACGGCCGCGGGGGCCGCAGCGAATGGCAGTGTGATTGAATCATTATTCCTGCGTGCATGCCTGTGAACTCTCACCGATGGGTCGATCCCTGCGCGTTGTCCACTGGCAGCGCCACTGCGGAGTAGGACGGCCAGCGCAATGGGGAACGGTGCCACTCAGTCAAAATTATTATTGCAGCCGCCGTTCATATGTGAGGCACCTGTTGGTCACAATCTCAACCACCTGCGATGACATCATCGATGCTTGTTTGGTATTATTCTCTGTCTGTGTCACTTCTCTGTCTCGCGTGACCCTCATCATGCCATGAGTACTTTTACCTCCCCTCTCCTCGCGCCGATCCCCAATCCCAAATCACCTGTCCCACATCAGTAATGCAGTTTTGCTACACGCTACATGCAGTTTTGCTACACCTTTCAGACCATGCAAATACCTTGGTCGCAAAGTGCAGTTCTCGGATCCCCACGGTGCGGAACTGGATAACCGTATTGCCGCCGCCTGGAAGAAATTCTTCTCCCTGAAGCAGGAATTGTTATGTAAGGATTACTCATTGAACGACAGATTACGATTGTTTCACGGATGCGTAACGCCAACGGCATTATACGGGTGTGAAACCTGGACGCTTACTTCAGAGTTGGAGAACCGCTTGCGAAGAACGGAACGACACATGCTACGGATGATCCTTGGGGGGAAGCGACGCAGACAACAACGCGCAGACAGCGCGTCCAAAAGCCAACCAGACAACGCCGACACCTCCAACAACGACGCCAGAAACGACCCCAACGACTCCAGCGAGCACGGAACCGACACCACAAGCATCGAAGAGACGAACGACGATCTGGAACCTTGGGTTGATTGGATCAAACGCGTGACCGCCGAAGCTCGCGCAAGGGTCGAACAACTCAACATCGAGGATTGGACAACGACGCAACGGAAGAGGGAATTCAAATGGGCACAACAGGTCGTTTGTGGACCGGCTGACAACTGGGCAATGAAGGTGCTATTTTGGAGACCCGACAATGACCCAGACGGATCACCTCATAGACGACCGGGGCGCCAGAAAACCCGATGGACAGATGCTTTCCGCATGTTGGTCATGGAATCAAATGGCCATTCAGACTGGTATCGTGTCGCGACCACACCAGCGTGGAACGACCTCCTGAACGCCTACATCCAACAGTGACTTCCCACCCCGCCCCTTCCCTTCCTCCTTCCTCTTCTTTTTTCCTTCGTCGTAGTGCGCACCTCATGTTGTAGTCTTTTCCGGCGCCTCGGTGCCCCCTCCGCTGCGCCTCCATGGCGCCACGCGCGCGGAGCCAGTTGCCAGTTGCCAGTTGTCTTTGGGCCCTCTTGAGGCGGTTTGGGGCGCTTTGGGGGCCGTCGTGGGCTCCAATCGGGACAATCATTGGCCATAGTGGAGCCATCTTGAGGGTGCAAGGGCTCATCGGAAGAGAGCAGACAAGGCGGCAACTCTCAGTGAACAGCACATTGGTTTTGAAGGATTTGGGCATCCTGGGGGCCTGCTTGGGGGGCTCGGGGGGGCACTCGGATCCGACCTGGGGCGATCTTGAGGGCTCTTGAAGGCACGTTGGAGGCTGCCTGGAACCGTCGTGGGATAGCTTGAGCGATCTTGGATGCCATCGTGGGCTCTCTGGGGCTCTCTTGGAGCCTCCTGGGGCCACACAAGACCTGCTGACCCCTTCGCGGGGTAGCCCCCTCCCGAAGGGAAAGAACTGGGGGTTGGCAGAATGACTTCCCTAGACCACTCACGCCATAACAGCTTTGTGGGATTCATCTGGTCCCCCACCCCCCCTGGATCCCTCGTCCTCCCTGTTTCATTCCTCCACTCTACCGCCTACCTGATCCCTCTTCCAGTTCAGCCTCCATATTCTCGTCCTTCCTTGCTTCCTCCACGCTCCCGTCATACCTTTCTGATGGTATCTCTCAGTCCTCCCTTCCCTGGCCGCCCTCCCTCCTCGCAACCCTGCTCGATCCGTTCATCTGCACTCTATCGTTCCTTCATGGTGTTGCCCATCCTTGTATGTCGTCTGTCTCGATATGTCCCCTCTCTGCCTGTTCATTGTCGTACGATGCATTCGAAGTCGTCATCTCCCCCTCAACGTCCCTCGCTATTGATTCCTCCTCAACCTACTCGTTCATCATCATTCCTCATAGTTCCTCGTCGCCTTCGTCTTCGTTCGTATTAGTATTATTGTTACTACTACTACTACTGCTACTACTGCTACTACTACCACGAATACGACTACGACTACTACCTCCACTACTACTATTAATCTTCCTCCTCCTCCTACCCCTCCCACCACTACTACTACTACTACTACTACTACTACTACTACTAATAATAATGATACCACTGCTACTGCTACTACTACTACTACTACTACTACTACTACTACTACTACTCTTACTACTACTACTACTACTACTACTACTACTACTACTACTACTAATACTACTACTACTACTACACTACTACCTACTACTACTACTACTACTACTACTACTACTACTACGACTACGACTACTACGACTACTACTACGACTACTACTACTACTACTACTGCTACGACTATACTACTACTACTACTACTACTACTACTACTACAACTACTACTACTACTACTCTACTCCTACTTTTACTACTGCTACTACTACTACTACTACTACTGCTTCTACTACCACTACCGCAACCACTACCACTACCACTGCCACTACCACTACCACTACTACTACTACTACTACTACTACTACTACTGCTACTACTACTACTGCGACTACTACTACTGCTACTACTACGACTACTACTACTACTACTACGACTACTACTACTACGACTACTACTACTACTATTACTACTGCTACTACTGCTACTACTACTACTACTATTACTACTACTACCACTACTACTACTACTACTACTACTACTACTACCACTACCACTACTAGTACTAGTACTAGTACGAGTAGTACTAGCACGAGTACTACTACTTCTGCGGCCACTACTACTGCTACTACTACTACTCTTACGATTATTATTAATAATACTAATACTACTACTAATAATAGTCGTACTAGCGCTACTACTAGTACTCGTACTATTACTAGCACTACTACTACTACTATGTTTACTACTACTACTACTCCTACTACTACTACCTTCTGCTAATACTACTACGACTACTTCTACTACGACTCCTACCACCACTACTACTACTACTACTCCTACTCCTTTTACTACTAATGTTGCTACTACCACTACTACTACTACTACTGCTGCTACTACTACTACCACTAGTACTACTACTACTCTGGCTACTACTACTACTACTACTACTACTACTACTACGACTGCTACTACTAGTACTAGTACTACTACTACTACTACTACTTCTACTACTACTACTACTACTACTACTACGACTAATACTATTTTTACTCATACTTCTAATTCTACTACTACTACTACTACTACCACCACCACTACCACTACTACACTACTACTACTACTACTACTACTACTACTACTACTACTACTACTACAACTACTACTACTACTACTACTACTACCACTACTACTACTAGCACCACCACTGCTACTACTACTACTACTACTACTACTACTACTACTAATACTACCACCACTACTACTACTACTACTACTACTACTACTACTACTACTACTACTACTACTGCTACTACTACTACTACTACTACTCCTGCTGCTGCTGCTGCTGCTGTTGCTGCTGCTACTACTACTACTACTACTGCTGCTGCTGCTGCTGCTACTACTGTTATGGATCGCATTCTTATCACTACTCCCTAGTCCTGCCTCGTCGCATGGTGCCTCCTTCCTCCCTCCCTCTGTTTCCCTTCTCTGTCTCCCCCGTCCTGCCCTGTCCGCGACCCTACGGGGCGCAGCCAGCTCCTGAGTCCTTCTTCCTCCTTGCGCCTCCCTCTTCCTCTCCCCCACGCCCCCACACTATCCTTCCCTCCCTTCCCGCTTTCTCGTGGAGAGGCGCGCAGTCTGCTGCAATGCCAAGCCTGACCGACCGAACGGCCTCGATCTCTACACACACACACACACACTCCCTCGTTCTCCCTCTCCACCCCCCCTCCCCCCCACATGTCCCCCCCCGCCCAACGCTAGCTTCCCGCTCGCAGGATCTCAGGGCAACTTCCTGCGCACTTGCGAGGAGGAGCCCCGCGCGCTCGCGCTCCCCGCGGCGTCATCAGCACGCGCTCCCGCCGCGCCATCCTCTCTCCCCACCAAGTTGTGTGGGGGAGGGCCGAGGTTGAAGGAGGAGAACGAGAAGGAGGAGGAGGAGAAGAAGAGGGAGGGGGAGGGGGAGGGGGAGCATGAGGAGGGAGGAGGGGGGAGGGTGACGGGGAGGAAGTGGAGGAGGGAGGGGGAGGGAGGGGAGATGAGGAAGAGGAGGAGGGGAACGATTGTGAGAAGGATGGAAGGAGAGGAGAGGAGGGAGGAGGAAGGAGGAGGAAGAGCAGGAGGAGGAGGAGCAGGAGGAGGAGGAGGAGGTAGGAGGAGGAGAGGAGAGCAGGAGCAGGAGGAGGAGGAGGGGGGAGGGGGGGGGGGGGGAGGGGGAGGGGGGTGGAGGAGGTAGGACGAGGAGGGGGGGGGGGAGTGGGAGGGGGGAGGAGGAGGTCCCCTGCTGTTCCCCGTCCTCCTCCCCCTGCTGTTCCCCCTCCTCCTCCCCCTCCTATCCCTGCTCCCCATACCCCCTTCTCAACTACACAATATGAATACTACTCTCCTCTCTCCCCTGATGACGGCCCGAACATATTTGGCCCACCTCCGCGTATTGTGTTTTACACACTGCCTTCCCAGGAGCTGGGATTTCGCTTGGGTCGTTTGTTCAAAATGTTGTTCTTGCTGAAGCGGCGGCCCCACTTCTGCGCTTCCGGTTGTTCCGAATTGGTTTCCCGCTGCAGCGCGGGCGTTTTGGGTCCTTGCAGATAGCCCCCAAAATCTAGAAAATACTCGCCCCCAAAACACATCGGAGGTGACTACACATTCGGTGTCGACTCGTTGATTTCTTGGGCCGCAGGAGCCCCGTTTCTGCTTTGAGAAGGCGATGTTGGAAGCATAGCCAGCGGGTGTCATTCATCAGCCCCTCCTTGTGTGGAGCCTTTCGGGAAGCCCAAAGAGCTAGATATGGAGCCCCGACTCCAGACCAGCCCAGACCTCTCGAAGACGATCCACTTACCCTCCAAAGAACCCGGCGCCATGCCATGACATGTTGTGCGGTGTTGCGTTATGTTCCGCTATGCGATTTCATGTTTTTGCGTTGCAACGCTTTGTCATACAATGCTTCACTGCGCAACGCCACGCCATGCTATGGCATGCTACGCTCTGCCGTACATTTCTACGCCATGCCATGCCGTGCTCTTCCATGCATCGCATACCCTCTCGCGATCATTGCCCTGCTCGACATCCGATCGTGCGAATATATAGAGGAAATCTACTCCATGGTAAGGGATGGGAGGACTGGGTAGGACGTCAGATATGACGCGAGCGCACCCAGCTTGTCATTATCCCCCTCCCCCCCTTCCTCCACATCCCCCTTTTGCTCTCTCTCTCTCTCTTTTCCTGCCCCTCCTCTCCCTCGCTTCCCCCTTTGCCCCTCAATCATCCCCCTCATCATCCCCCTCCCCCCTCCCTCCATCTCGGACACAGAAGCGCGTTGCCCCGTGCCGTGGCCCTGGAAGGGTTCCGGAGAATAGTTCCACGCCGCGCTGTCGGGGATCGGACAGGCCTCCTACCCTGACACGTCGATTGGCGAATTGGCCGTTTTCGGTTCGCGAGAGGGCCTCGCAGCCGTCATTTTTGCGGGTCCTGGTCCGTCGGTTTCGGTCCCAGGCCGTTTTCACTAAGGGGAGGTTTACTAAAGGGAGGTGTGTCCACTGCCGAGTTGGGTGGTGAGTGACATGGGGGTAAGGTGATCCATCCCCTCGGAAGAAGTCCGCCTTGCAAATCTGTGAAGTCCGCAAGCAGAAAAGGCAAGGCACACTTTTGGGCGAACCTCGACCCTTTTCGCTCTCGCGGGGTGAATTTGCTTGGACTGGTCGCGCCTGTTGGGCGGCAGCTTGTCTCGGCCTTCCAGTGCGCAGTCTATGACGCTGCCAAAAGCACATTACTTGTGTTGTCGGCCGCCGAGTTCGCAAGATGCCCAGAAGCTGCGGGGTACAAACGGTCCTCGGGATTGAGTGCCCTCAGAGTTGCTCGACTGGAGGTCACCCTCTCGACTCCGCGGAGAGGCTGCGGCTGTCGGAGGGCTTCGGCGACATGAGCGTCGCGTGCGACGCCATCGGCGAGTTTTTGGGTGTATTGCGCGGGAGTGTGGGAGCTGTATTGAGATCGACGAGCTGCGAAACCTCACGGGGCCCGAGTCCATCGTGAACGAGCGGCGAGGTGCGGTTCAGGCAGAAGCGCGGGATGAGAGCTGGATGGCCGCTCTGCGGACACCCGCCACAGGGAACCGCAGTCACCGCTGCCTCCTCCGGCAGAGCCTCCCACGTGTGCGGCGCTGTCCGGGCGATTCTCTCAAAATTGCGCCGCCGTCTGGAGTTGTGCCAGCGCGCAGTCAGGACTGGGCAGGTGCGCGTTGGCGCGGGGTGCCATGGCCCAGAGCACATGCCCCATGGCTTCAGCCGGGTTGCCTGGGCAATTAGCCAAAGAGCTTGTGGCCCCTGTCCTTTGGAGCCCCAGGAGCATGACCCGCTTGATCCGGTGCGATCGCCGCCTCCGGGCAGCGCGGTCCGGAGGCGGAAAGATGTGGCGGAAGCGCCCAGCTGATCTTGGTAGGCGGCCTGGCTCCCGGGTTCCCAGTTCCGGGTTTCTCGGTTCCCAGCTGCTGGTTCCAGGCCGATGGGCGGCAGGGTTCCCGGGTTTCGGGGTTCTCGGGTTTTTGGTCGACCTCCGCATCGATCGGTTAAATCATCGATCGCACTATCCTGTTCTCAATCGATCTCACTATCGTTCCCTCAACCGATCTCACGATCGATCCCTCGATCTCATTAGATCGCACGAGCGATATCACGATCGATCTCATAATCGATCTCACTGAGACGACTTCACCATCGGTCTCTCGATTGACCTTACGATCGTCCTCACCATCGATCCCACTATCGATCTCACGGTCAATCTCACGATCGATCTGACGATCGACATCATTGATTCCCAAACCATCCGCTGACTGGGTTTTTCGTTTTTGCCCAGGTATACTGGCGCAGCTCGCACTGCACGAGAGCGCTCTGTTTCAACGGGCGTTGCAAGGCGGTCAGCCAGGACGCGCCCGGCGCGGGGTCCGTGCCTCGTGCGCACGGGCGTCGCCAAGACGCGCCGCCACGTCCAAGAGCTCGATCAAGGAGTCCTTGCCGAGGTCTGCGGCCCCGCTGGACACGGACGCAGTCCAGCAGTTCATCGCACGGAGCAGCCACGCCCAGCGATCAGCGGCCTTGCGATGGGTAACCTGAACTTGCAGTGCAGAAGCCTTCTATTAGAACAAATTGTCTAACGTCTAGGTTCCTGGAAGCGACAGCCCATCCCCCGACCCCTCAGAGATCGACCCCACCAGTTTCAGCAGTGGATCCCAATGAAGACCCAAGCAGGAAATCCTTTCGATGGGAAGTCATCACGGATATTCCTTTTTTTCTGTCTGTTATGAGCAAACATCAACTTGAGGGTGCAACACTATATCGCTCGGCCGTTTCCCCCCATCGGTATTTCGTTCATTGTTCATTTTACGTATGTGCCATGGGCTACTGCTTCCGCGTGAGGGATTCTCAATTGTTCTTTGCGTTTATGTTGCAATGGGGTACTTTGCGTAGTCCCGCCAGGCGGGGCCACGGCATCTCTCGGGCATTGCATCATTGCCTGCATCGGGTAGGGTTGCGTTCTCTGGCCAGCTGGCCTCCTCCTCCTCCTCCTCCCCCATCCCCCTCCCCCATCCCCCTCCCCCTCCTCCTCCTCCTCCTCCTCCTCCTCCTCCTCCTCCCTCTCCTCCTCCGTAGCCATTTTCGCTCAAGATGCCTGTTTCCCGCGGGAGACAAACGGATACCGCTACTCCGCGGCAGGCAAGGCACTTTGTGCCTGGCAGAGGACACGCCCGTCTTCCCATTCCCTCATCCGTACCGCATGGGTGCTGATGGCGCGCGCTCGGGCAGCAGACGTGTCGTGCGGCACCCTACTAAGGAGAAGCGGGACCGCAAGAATAGCGATGGTGAACGGCGTCCGCGTCGGGTTGCTTCTCCCCGGTCTGATCAGTCTTCTGCTGCGTCCATCGACGACCCTCGAGGACAACAACGCCAACGTCGGAATGCTCATGCCCCAGGTGAAGCCCCTCCTGAAGTTTTCGAAGTGGCCACCCCTCCTGCAGGCTCGGCAAGCCCTCGTACTCGATCTGGGGTGCCTGGTACGTCGGGACAAGTTCCTGCTGTCGCCAACCTGCTGGACGGCTGGGACGGCAACGCTCAAGATGTGGCAACGTTCCCATCTCAAGAACGTCGTGACGGTATACAATCGATGGGATTCGAGAATGGCCCTTGTGCTACGCCCGAGGGGCCTCCCAATGATCATGGTCAAGCTGGTCCCCTGCTCAACCCGCGGGCCCAGAGCTCGCTGCAAGAGTTCAAGGATCAGGCGCTCAAGGAGTTCGCTGCGAAGGCCATGGCCGCTCTCAACGAGACCCTCCCGTGTGCTTTGGTCAAAGCTACGGGGCCCCTCCTTAACCAGTATGATGAGAAATTCAATCCGCATATTTGTCTTCTGCGCCAAGACCTTGACAAGCAGACCCAGCGTGTCAACGCGGTCGAGTCAAAGTTCGCAGCCATGGAGGACAGGCTCGCCCATCTTGGGCGGGAACTCGACCTGGCAAAAGTCAAACCTCGCAACATTCCTATCCCTTCCGCTGACTGGGGCAGGGAAGTTGATCCGACGATCATGCATGTTCGTGCCCGAGAACCTGTCCCTCGGAAGAACGTCGAAGGGCCGATCAAGCAGTGGCTTCAACCCGCCAACTTCTCCATTGGCGAGGAGGTGCAGCTGCAAGGTGAAGGGTTTGCGAAGCAGTTTACTCTTGTACTTCAGGGCCCGCATCCTGCTACACGTGAGAGTCGGCGCAAGCAGGCTCAGGCGGCGCTACGTCTTCCCTCTGGGCAGTGGAGGTCACTCCACATTCAATTGGCCACTACGAACATCCCGCTGTACATTTTGGCCGACAAGAGTCGGAAGGATTTCGCCGCGGAGAAGGCGCGCAAGAAGCTTCGCCGTGCTATTTCAGGTGAGTTTGGAGTCACAACGTTCATTGACCGCGATGGTGGACAGCTCCTCGCCAAGTGGGAACCATTGGCCAAGGTTGCGCCAAGCTCATCTTCCCGCGTTCCTCGGGTGGAATGGAATTTGCCGCTCTCGCGGACGCCGGCCTCAGCAAGGAGGCAGCTACCCCGCTGGCGCGCAGGACCTTCTCCGATCGCGAAGTTCAGTGGAGTGGGTAGCAAAATCTTTGGGGCTGCCCAACTTACTCTCGCATCGTGGAATGCGGGCTCGCTCCCCCACTTCAACTCCAAGAAGATGTCCAAGAGGCTTGAGGTACTGAGAGAGATCACTCACGCTGGCTCACTGGTTGTTGTTCAAGAAGTTCATGGAGATGAAGCTGCAGTGCAGGAAGCGCTCCAGCGTATCGCCATCACTCATTTCCCGTTTGTCTCGCAGGTCCCCAAGGTCGACGCTGCCGAAGTCTCACCCGAAGTTTTGGTCCCTGGGAGAGTGTTACTATTCAAAATTGTATGCGTGCGCAGTGGGTTTACACTGCGCCATTGGAATATCCATAATTCTGGGATTCAGCGCGAACAGCTTCTTCGGTTACAGGTGCGCGTCCGAGCACAGTTTCGTGAAGTCAGGGGTGCCCCCACCAAGTCTTCAGTTATCTTGATTGGTGATTTCAATCTCCCAGCTGAAGATCGGGAGCGTGCGACTGCATTTGTACGCAATGAAGTCTTTGAAAGGGGCAGAGCTTCTACGACGTCGGGTCCCGCTTCGAGGACAAATTCACCAGTTTCGGCCAGCGTGACGCGCTCTCTGCGCCCTTCAGCGCGCGCCGCGTCAACTAGGGCGGGTCGTCCTGGGGGCAGCATCTGGCGCAGGATTTCCAGGGCGATGACAGAGCTGGCGTCGGACGCGCCCTCGCATTGGCACGAGGGTACACAGTCAGCGAGCAAAACTGATCGATGCTTCACCGCTTCCCCACCATGGGTCCTCTGTCAGTCCTTCCAGCGCGCTCGTGTCTTGGGTGAACCTCAGGAACTTCTTCGGCAAGGCCTATCTGACCATGCTCCCATGGCGGTCTCCTGGGGCCCCCGGTCTGATCAGTTGGCCCGCCAGCGGCCTCTTCCGAAGTGGGTTTATCAGGACCAACTCTACGATCGCGCAGTTCGTGGGTTGGAAGAGATTGTTGACATCGCGTCCCTCGAGCATGACATTCCCAGGATGTTGGCGATGGCTACCCGTATCAGGCATTCTGCTGGTGCTATGGTTCGTGACGCCCTCTTGCGCTCCTCGACTTCCTCGCTCACGTCTCGGGCGTTGGTTGCGCGCTCGCTTGCTCGGTGCGTGTGGAGACAGGATCATAAGTTAGCTGGTGTCCTTCGGTTTTAGTTCCCGTGGGTTCAGAAACATTGCATCATCCAGGGCTCCAGTGTGTCTTTAACGGACCCAGCTGGGTTCAGTGATGTGCATGCTCATCTTCAGAGGCAGGAAGCTCCCGCCCGTCGCAAAGAAGTGGGAAGTGCTCTCTCGAAAACGTCGTCACCGAGCACTCGCTCTCGCCTCATCGGTCAGAAGCGCGCCGCTGCAAGGTCTGCGCAACTATGGAACCCTTTGTTGAGGCGCAAGTACCTGGCAGGCAGTGTCAAGGAGAGTGCGTCTGACGATGCGCATGGCCGTTGCCCTTCGTCTCTTGCTTCCCCATGCGTCCTCCTCGTCTGAGCAGCAGCATGTGGACGCGCTACACGAGCACTGGGCCCCTGCATTCTGCAAGGCCCCTGTGGTCCCCAATGGTGGTCGCCAGCGTGCTGAGCGTTTCACGAGCAGCTTGGACTTCTCCGAGATCCACCCCCCCCATGGTCGAGGATGTCTCACGGGCATTGGGAAAAGCGCCGCGGGCTGCTCCTGGCCCTGATGGGATTCAATATGTTGCATGGAATACTGGTCTGGGTCCCCGAATTCGACTAGCCGTACTTCGATGGATCTCACTGGGGCACATCATGGACTCAGCCTTTTCGGCTATGCTTGCTGTCTTCCCCCCAAGCCTCCCAAAGGAGCCCGAGATGAGCCTGGCGTAGGTGGAGTTTTGCGCAGAGCTTCCGAGACTCGGCCCCTGGGCCTTAAGAACACAAGCAACAAGGTGGTTTGTGGTGTCCTTAATAAATGTCTCAACAGGGTCACCTGTGCGATAGGAGCTAAATCGCAAAATGGATTTATCAGGAACAGAACTTTCCTCAACCATATCACTGACCTGGACATTTACGCACGCGCCGCTCGTGATCTAGCTCGACAGTGCCATGACCAGGCGCCCTCTCTGATGACATTCGACAACGCCCAAGCGTTCCCATTAGTCAGTCAGTCGTGGCTATTCCTGTGTCTTCGATGTCTTCGGCTTCCCCCGCCACTTGTCAAAGCTCTTGAAGGCCTGTGCTTGTGCACTATGCGATCTTATACTGGGGCCTCGCAGTCTTTCAGTCTGGTGCCCTTCAAGGCTGCCCTCTCAGTGGGTCACTCTATTTTATCGCCGCCAACCCTTTCGTTCTTGACATTGCAGCTTCCATGATATGCGCAGGCACGCGTTTGGGTGTTACTAGATTGTGTGCTGATGACTTGGGCGCTGCCATTTTCTGGAATCGGTCGCACCGTCGCCTCGCCGGAATATTTCGGCTCGCGGCTGCGTTTGCTGAGTTGCGTCTCAAACACAAGAATTGTACGGTGATCCCCCTTCGTCACCCTTCGTCCCCCGATGCTTGTGCTGAAGTGCGTGATCAACCTATTGGTGCTGACTCTATGTGGGCACGCTTCTCGTTTGCATCTCAATGTACTTATCTGGGATTTCAGATCGGCCCATCGGCGACTATTGCAGACCAATGGAAAGGACCTATGGACAAGCACGCGGCTCGTACAGTTGACCACAGCGACCAAGGTGCCCCGATCGAGCTTTTGGCGAGACTGTATCGTGAGCGTCCTCTTCCAGTGCTGAGTTATGTGGCCCAACTTGCTCTTCTTGAGTGGTCCGTGGTGCAGGAGCAGCGACGCCTTTGGCACGCTTCTCACGTACCTCCAGTAGTATGCTTCGGTTGGGTGGCTGTTTTAACTTAGACCGATGGAATGGGCCTAATTTCAAGTCCATGAACATCCTTGCTGCAGCGGCTTGCATGAGAACAGCACTGGTGACGTGTACTTTATGGCGCAGCCGTCTTCGGGCACATAGAGAGCTGTTCGTTTCTCCTGGTACTGCTGATTTATGGTCATCACCTGTGTTGGCCCTTCTTCTTGGAAGTCAGCTCCCTTCGCGTGCTTCTTGGAGGATGCGGCCAACGGCTTTCCATTTAACAGAAGACTTTCTCGCGGTGGCCGTATTGCCCGCGAGGTTTGGCAATCAAATGCACCGTCTATCCCGATTTGAGTCCAGGAGTTATTCCAGAATGGTCCTCTTCCAGGGCCTCTTCTGCGGACATCAATACGCCCTGCTGCTCCTGGTGCTCCCCGCCCTCCCAAGATCAAATGGCAAGCAATCTTTGCCGCCATTATGTCTCGTGCTGTTTTCCAGCCTCGGCTTGTTGAACTCTTGCAACGGCGTCTTCGCATGCACTATGGAATCACTGACATTGACTTTGCTCAGGTTCGACAACTGCTCCTCAAAGTACCGAAATCATGGGCGATGAATTGCATTCGAACCTACCTTGGTGGCTGGATCACGAACCGACGTATGCAACGGACTTTTCCGTGCATCTATGGTTGTCAAGGGCAACCTGATACAGTGCGCCATTATGTGATCAATTGCTCGAGATGTCATCATTTTGCAGCCCTGGCGCTTCGATGCGACCTACCGCGTTGCCCCGCTCATCGTCTGGGCCTCCGCGGATCGTCTGTGGCCAGTATCATTGCGATGTATCACCACTACCGACTTATGAGCCACAGGAGAATCGAACTCTCCGACTATGTGGCTGTGAGAGATCTTGTGGAAACTACCAGGCTGGCAACAATGCTTCCACTACGCTGCCATGACCAGAAGGTCATTTCCAACGCCGTTCTCTCTGATGCAGTTCTGGAGACTAGGAGAAGTCCTGTTTCATCGTCTTCCTCGTCCTCATCCGCGTCCTCCTCACGATCGTCCAGCTCGTCTCCAACGCGCTCATCTTGTCCTCCGAGATTCGGTGGTGCGTGTCTTGCGTCCTCGTCGCTGTCCTCCTCCATCTCAGGGGCGGTGGGCCCGCATCTCCCAGCCTCGGCGGCGATGCGGGACCGAGGGGGCTAGAGGGCCACTCGCCCCCGCCCGTCCCTGAGCAAGGCGACGCTCAGCAGCCCCCCAACAATGTGGGCGACTCCAGCTGGTATTCGGGTTCCTCGTCGGGTGCCTCTACTTCACCATCGTCGTCTCGGACGAGGCATGAGGCCTCTGTTGAGGCAGGCCGGTCCCCGCCAGCCGCAGGGTAGCTGGTCAGATGGAGGTGACCTCTTCGGTGCACGTTCCGCCTCCTCCTCCTCCTCCTCCTGCTCCTCCTCCTGCTCCTCCTCCTCCTCCTAAAGCTCCCAGTTGTGGAGCACCCGTCAGGGGTGCACTGGGGCGAGCTCTGCCCAGCAAGCGTGGCGCGCGCAAGGTGGGGCGGCACGAGGGGGGGCCGCATCGTAAGGAGTCGGGGGACTTGCAAGAAGGGAGCGGGCTTCTTTCAGGAGGGACAAAAAACACAGACACAATTAATCGTCGATTCCCATGAAAATATGCAACAATATGGGAAGTGGGGGGGGAAGACGAAAATCCAAAACATATGGAAAATATGGGGAATCCTGCTACTAGTGTGTATTTATTTGTGTGTGTCCCAGGGCCCCTTCATTCTTGGAAGCCCTCGCTGCTCCCAGTACAAAGGCTCCTTGACGCTCCTGAGGCCTTCTAAGCCTGCCTTTAAGTCGGGCCTGTCTCCCTATCAGGGAAATTGTCGACGAAAAAAACATAGTCCAAATATAATCCAACCATAGTCTGGGAACTATGTGTGTTAGCATTGTTTGACCATGTTGGAGCATGTTTGGGGTATTTTTTTGTATTTTCGTCGAACATCCCCCTGTAAGGGGGACAGGCCCGGCTTACGCCTGCCTTCGAAGGCCCTTGCCTTCCAAACCTTCTACGGACCCTGCCTTCCACCGCGCCCCTTGGCTCCCTGCGGAGGCCACCCCCCTCGCGCCACCTTCGTGTGCGCGGTGCCGACAGCAGCCCGCCAGCGCGTCGTCGACGCGTGCCGCCAATGCCTCGCAGCCAGCCGGCCGCGCGGGACTCCGCGGGGGATCGCGGCCTCCCGCGCAGATGTCCCGGATGCCCCGCCGCTCGATCCGCAAGAGACCTTGCTCGCCCTCCTCCTCCTCCTGCTGCTCCTGCTCCTGCTTCTCCTCCTCCTCCTATCTCCTCCTCCTCCTCCTCCTCCTCCTCCTCCTCCTCCTCTCCTCCTCCGCTCCCCCTTCTGAACTCTCCTTTCCCCCCTCCCGCCTCCACCTCCTTTGTCCTCCATACCTATCCCCCTTCCCTCTCAGAGGAGGGCCAGTTGAGACAACACGGGAGCTGGCATTCGGAGGGCCTCCTCGTCGTTCGTTTTTTTCCAGCGCGACAGTAAGCCAAGGAAAAGTTGTATGCCTGAAGTGACCCAACAGATCTGCGCAAATGTATATGATCATGGCTCTGCAACGGCAGGGTGCGCATGTCACGGAATACCTCTTGAAGACGACGCCCGTGTCCAGAGTGAATGGCGGGACGCAATTCGAATAATTGGTGCGTTTGAAACCCGGCAGCGGATTTTGAGTTGCCATAGTCTCAATTCGTTCTGCTCTGGCTCCTCCCGTTTTTTGTCCTCCATCTCTCCCTCCTTCATCTCCCTCCGCATGCTCCTCGCCTTTCCCTTCCACTCGGAGGTTGATATAATCCCCACTTCCGCGAAGTCGAATGGCGAACGGCCCTTCTTAGATTCTCGAACAGGCGTTGTGGCCGCATATGTGCGGACCTGCTGTTTTCTCACCGTCGCCCGCCTCTTCGTCCTCCTCCTCCTCCGCCTCCGCCTCCCCTTTCCTCTTGCATCTCCTCGTCAGGCTGGTCCGAGTCCAGCGGTAGTTCTGCATTGCAGGGGGGCCATGAAGCTGCCCAGACGCTGCTCGGAACGAAGGCAACTCTCACTGATGCTCTACACTGTCTGTCCTGTTCCTTCAGGTTCGAGCCCGAGGGTGGCGATTCAGGGGCACAGCCTGATGGACCGAGCTGAGGGCCATCGTGTACGTGCTGGCGTGGCGCAGTGGTCCGCTCCCTCGTGCCCTGCCTTCTCTCGAAACCTGCGCTGAAAGAGCGACAGTCTTTTGCGGGCCTGTACCCGTCGGGTCTGGTCCCATCTCCTGTGATCGGGGGCGGAAAAGAGGGGGGTGATGACTAGGGGGGGGTGGATATCATGGCGGGGGCCATGATATTTCCCCAGATCTCATGGCGCCTCTTCTTATTTCATTACGTCCCTGGCCCCCCCGCTGGGCCGCGCACATGCCGCCGGTCATGATTTGCACCCCGCCCTCTTGGACGCCCCTTCTTGGCCGCTCCCGATGTGAGGCCCCTTCCCCCGAGAGAGCCCGTGCCCGCCACGAGGAGTGGGGCACGCTGATGTTCTTCTGCGACTACCACGGGCCGCACGCCGACGCCGCCGACACCGAGAAGCTCGCCATCTTCGGCGCTCGCGGAGGCGCGGCTGTGCGACCTCCCCGGTGGAGCAGTGACTCAGGAGGGGAAAAAACACACAGGCAATGAATCGTCGACTCCCAGGAAAAAATGGGAAGTGGGGTGGAAGACAAAGACCCAGAAAATATTGGGAAATATGGGGAATCATTTTATTTGTGTGTATTTATTTGTGTGTCCTGGGGCCCCTTCAGGACGAGCTGAGGGACAGGACGTTGGAGCAGGAGCGGGGAGAGAGGAGAGATGACGCGGGGAGGGAGCAGGCAGGAAGGAGGGTGTGGGTTGATGGGGGTGGATGGAGGATGGAGGCATAAAAGGAGACGAGTGAACCAGGAGGGGCAAATGAGCGACAGGAAGACATGATGAACATGGAGGGAGGAAACGGGAGAACATGAGGGGAGGGACGGGGTATGAGTAGCAGGATCCATGAGGAATATGAGGATGATGGATATCGTTGGTGGATGGCAGAGGAGGAGGAGGAGGAGGAGGAGGAGGAGGAGAAGGAGGAAACTGAATGAAGGGGAAGAGAATTCAGCAGACGGATCGGCAAGAGGGGGCGGGAGGGAAACTTCGACGACCGTGCCAAGGCCTCGTCTGTACGAGACCTGGCCTTCTTCCGCAGTCGGGCATGCGATGAGGACATGGCGCCTGTCTGAACCAGGCGGGGACGAGGACTTCAAGTTTCCGTTCGAGGCGGAGACACGCCCTCGCGTCCCAGCGAGCGAGAGAGAGAGAGAGAGAGATCTATATATATATATATATATATAAAGATATAGAAAAGCGCTCCTTCGTGCAAGTCGGCCAAGGCCGGACGGGCGCGGAGCTGAAGGTCATGGCCGCCATCGAGACGAAGATCCCAGGCTACTTCACGCGGGACATCGACGAGAGGCGCCCGCGGCTCCTCGATTCCCCCCTCCTCCTCGTCCCTGCCTCCTCCCTGCTCCCTCCCCCTCCCTCCGGCTCCTTCCAGTCCTGCCTGCCGTTGCCGTTCCTTCTCCTCCGCAGCAGCCTTGGCCCCCTCGTCGCTGCTCGTTCGCCCGCGCGGGAGGCTCTAGGCCAGGCGCGGGGGCGCGAAGACACCCGCGCCCCGAGCTCGGTGGCCTGGGCGGGAGAGCTAAGATCAGGAGGAGAAAAAACACGCAGACACAATTAATCGGCGATTCCCAGAAAATATGGGAAAATATGGGAAGTGTGGGGGGAGACAAAACCAAAAAAATACGGGAAAATGTGGGGAATCGTTTTATTCGTGTGTATTTATTTGTGTGTCCCAGTTCCCCTTCATAAGAGCTGTCCCGCGTCCGGGGGCGACTCGAGTGCGCAGCGATAAAACGCCAGGCGTCCCCATTGGGGGCTCAGCAGAGGGGGTCGGAGGGTCGCGCCGCACCGCCGATGTGTCGAGGACGCGGCGCGACATGGGGCCCTGCTGGCTCCACGCCGACGTCGCCGATGCGCCGGCGATGTCGCCGATGCAGCGGCGATGTGGCACGATCCTCTGACGGCTCCAGGTCCAGAGGGTGCCGGTCGGATGGTAGGCCCCCGCTTTTCTTGTATTCTCTTTTTGTTTTTGTTCTCTCTCTCTCTCTCTCTCACTCACTCTCTCTCTCTCTCTCTTTCACTCTCTCACGCTCTCTCTCACTCTCTCCCTCTCGTCCCCCCTCTCTCAGGATGACGTTCGTGTTCCTTTCCTTATCTTTGCCGGGGGTGGCGGTTCAATCGATTCCTTTTGTGGGAGATTACCTATCGATTCCCTTTCTGTGTGAGGGCCACACATCGAATGCTTTTTGGGGGGGGGTGCGACTAGATTCCGTTCGAGGAAGAATCTAGCCCTGGGGGAGAGATCTTTTTGACCTTCCCCCCAGGGCTAGAGGATCCAGTGGCTGTTTCTTTCGTTTCCTGGGGCCTTTCCCCCATGGCCCAGCCCCTTGTGCGAGGAGGCAGTGCCAGGGACGGTGAGGAGCCAGCTTGTGCACCAGCGGCAAGCCAAGCTCCGTCGGCAGCGCTTCCTCATCCTCCTCCGCGTTATCCTCCTCCTCCCAATTTTCCTCCCCCTCCATCCTTACTAACTATTCCCAACCAAGAATCCCCTACTAAGGATTCTTTGATCAGATCCCGTTCCAAGGCCTTCTCATCGAGGACGCCTTACGTCGGATTCCATACATAGGATGTCTTTATTCAAGAATATGTTCTGTAGGTGCATTAGTAGGTATTCCTGACTGTGGACCCCCGACGAGGGAATCGTACATAAGGACCCCCTGCTTATGTTTCCAGGCTATTGATTCCTAGTTAGTGATCCCGAAGTAAGGATTTCTTACCAAAGAGTCATACGAATGATTCAAGGCTAAGGTCCTTCTATTGCGAAGTCTTGTCTCAGGGCTCGCTAAACACATCCTTGAATATGGATTCCCTTTCTGAGAGCTCCTTACTAACGCCTTCTATCTGGGATTCCATACTAGGGACCCATTGCTGAGGAGCCCTTGAAACGGACCCTTTTAAAGAGCATACTTACGAAGGTCTTGCGATTAAGGACTCCTTATTAAGCAGCCCTTAGTCAGGACCCGCATTCTTGATTCAGGATTTCCTAGGGGGTCACGTGCTTTGAAGGTCTATGTTAGGACCCCTTTACAAGGATCCCTTACAAACGGGATTCCTTATGAAGGATTCCTTAATGCGGGTCTCTTAAGGCTGCCATCGTCCTTCTTAAGAACTCGTTGTGCAGGATTATTTGCCCCGATGTCTTAGCAAGGAGCGTTTACTCATTTTCCTTGTAAAGTCACCGATATGAGCGAGGTATACCGGTCGAGTTGCCTTCTAAGGATCCATGCGTACGACTTCACGACAAAAGGGACCCGTTCTGAAGATCCTTCATTCAGGATGCCTTGCTAAGCGTCTCTCGCAATGGATTCCTTCCAACGGAATCCTTATTCCGGATCCTTTATCGAGGACTTTGTATCAAGGCTGCCAGACCAAGGATTCTTTTCTGATGCGGATTTATACGGATTTTCCCGGAAAGGGCTGAAGCCCAGGGTTCTCTTTAAGCCGTTTGCTCTCGGAATCGATGGGAAGAGGGCCGGCGGAATTATTCTGCGATACATTACATGCGGGAAGAGGGCCGGCGGAATTGTTTTTGAGGATGTCTCGAGCGAAACGCTTGTGTTTCAGAATTGGTTGAGGATGTCTCGAGCGAAACGCTGATTTTGCAGAGTTAGGGGATGTCTCGAGCGAAACGCTTGTTTTCAGAATTTGTTGCGGATGTCTCGAGCGAAACGCTGGTTTTGCAGAGCTGACCGCGACACGGAAAAGCGCCCCGCGTAGGAATTCCGAGGATGTCTCGCGCGTGCCGCGTCCCGCGCGCAGGAATTTTCAGGATTTCTAGATTAAGTCGTTTGTTTTTTCGAGGATGTCTGTGATTTTTGAGGATGTCTCGAGCGAAACAGTTGTGCTTCAGAATTGGTTGAGGATGTCTCGAGCGAAACGCTGGTTTTGCAGAGTTGGGGGATGTCTCGAGCGAAACGCTTGTGTTTCAGAATTTGTTGAGGATGTCTCGAGCGAAACGCTGGTTTTGCAGAGTTGGGGTATCGAACATGGCGTCGGGCCCAACGCCGAATTACAAGGAAACGCACGGGGGGCCCAAAAGCGCTACCCGAACACATGTCCCAATACAGAAAAGTGATGGTGTCTTGCCCTGAACAGGGGGTTGCGCTTTGGGGGCCTCTCCAGGGAAGACGTAGCGAGGATGTCTCGAGCGGGAGCGCGAATTCAACGTATCCAGGTCACGCAGGGGGGTATCTAACATGGCTGTCCCGAGCTGGAACCACGTGTTTTTTCATGCTCAGGCCACCCAGGGAGATCTCTGACATGATTGTCCCGAGCTGGAACCACGTGTTTTTACGTGTCCAGGCCACCCAGGGGGTATCTCTCATGGTTGTCCCGAGCTGGCACCGTGTTTTCACGTGTCCAGGCTACCAACACGACGCTTGTCCCCAGCACGTTCTGTAGCGCGTCCCCTTGGCACGTCCCGCGGTGCGTCCCCGTGGCACGTCCCCTGGCACGTCGCCTGGCGCGTCCCTTGGAACGTTCCGCGGCGCGTCTTCCTGGCATGTTTCCTTGTCAATTAGCTCTGGGGCAGCTACTACGTGGACTATGTGCTCAGGCAGCTCGAGCTTAAGATCGAGATCAGTTCGGTCAGGACTCGGATGCAAAGGAGGACTCGATCCACGAGGCTATAGAGCACAATCGCGGCATGGCACATCGCAGTTCAGCACGGCGCAGCACAGCACAGCCTTCGGCACGGTACATCAAGATCGATACTATCACTCAGCATTGCAACTTGGCACGTCCATTGGCACGTCCATTGGCACGTTCCGTGGCGCGTCCTGTGGCGAGTCCCCCTGGCACGTCGCGCGGCGCGTCCCCTGGCACGTCCCGTGGCACGTCCATTGGCACGTTTCGTAGCGCGTCCCCTTCGCACGTCCCGCGGTGCGTCCCCATGGCACGTTTCCTGGCACGTCGCCTGGCGCGTCCCTCGGAACTTTTGGCGGCGCGTCTTCTTAGCATGCCCCCCCGTGAATTAGCTCTTGGGCAGCTATTATGTGCTCAGGCAGCTCGAGCTTAAGCTCGAGATCAGTTCGGTCAGGACTCGGATGCAAAGGAGGACTCGATCCACAACGCTATAGAGCACAATCGTCACGTGGCACATCGCAATTCAGCACGGCGCAGCACAGCATTGCCTTCGGCACGGTACATCAAGATCGATACATTCAGCATTGCAATTTGGCAAGTTCTTTGGCACGTTCCGTGGCGTGTCCTGTGGCGAGTCCCCCTGGCACGTCGCGCGGCGCGTCCCCTGGCACGTCCCGTGGCACGTCCATTGGCACGTTCCGTAGCGCGTCCCCTTGGCACGTCCCGCGGTGCGTCCCCGTGGCACGTCCCCTGGCAACTCGCTTGGTGCGTACCTTGGCACGTCCATTGGCACGTTCCGTAGCGCGTCCCCTTGGCACGTCCCGCGGTGCGTCCCCATGGCACGTCCCCTGGCACGTCGCCTGACGCGTCCCTTGGAACTTTCGGCGGTGCGTCTTCCTAGCATGCCCACCCGTGAATTAGCTCTTGGGCAGCTACTATGTGCTCAGGCAGCTCGAGCTTAAGATCGAGATCAGTTCGGTCAGGACTCGGATGCAAAGGAGGACTCGATCCACAACGCTATAGAGCACAATCGGCACGTGGCACATCGCAATTCAGCACGGCGCAGCACAGCACAGCCCTCGGCACGGTACATCAAGATCGATACACTAAGCATTGCATTTGCCCGTCGCCCAATCAAGTGTTTCTGAAACGTTGCCAAGTCTTACATTTCTATATTCTTTTCCGGGTTCGTGGGTCGATCATGTTTGTTCTCGACTTTTCAATTAGAAAGTGTTTATTCCTAAATCCTTATTGAGGGCCTTCCTGTCGAAGGCTTCCCCACAAAGGAGTCTTTACTACGGGTTTTCAGACGGAGGATTTCTGACAAATGACTCCCTGCTGAAGATCTGACACACTCCTTACCAGGGATCACGAATAAGGGTTTTTCCCGGAAAGGGCGTAGGCCCAGGGTTCTCTTTTAGTAGGTAAACTTGTCCCCGGTGCCTCAACTGAAGGGCGCCGGCGGATTTTTCCTATATAAATATCGAGGTCGAAGGGCGCCGGCGAATTAAAATTTGAGGCTGTCTCGAGCAAAACGCTTGTTTTTCAGAATTTGTAGAGGAAGTCTCGAGCGAAACGCTGGTTTTGCAGAGTTGGGGATGTCTCGAGCGAAACGCTTGTTTTCAGAATTTGTTGAGGATGTCTCCAGCGAAACGTCGGTTTTGCAGAGCCGACCGCGACGCGGAAAAGCGCCCCGCGCGCAGGAATTCCGAGGATGTCTCGCGCGTGCCGCGTCCCGCGCGCAGGAATTTCGAGGATGTCTCGACTAATTCGTTTGGTGTTCTAGGATTTCCTTGAATTTTGGCAGGATGTCTCGAGCGAAATGCACGACCCCACCCTAGCACGACCACACCCCAGCACGACCACACCCCAGCATGACCACACCCCAGCACGACCCCACCCCAGCACGACCCCACCCCAGCACGACCCCACCCCAGCACGACCACACCCCAGCACGACCCTACCCCAGCACGACCCCACCCCAGCAAGACCACACCCCAGCACGACCACACCCCAGCACGACCTCACCACAGCACGACCACACCCCAGCACGACCACGCCCCAGCACGACCACGCCCCAGCACGACCACGCCCCAGCACGACCACCCCCCCACGCGACCACCCCCCAGCACGACCACCCCCCAGCACGACCACACCCCAGCACGACCACTCCCCAGTACGACCACGCCCCAGCACGACCACACCCCAGCACGACCACACCCAGTGGCACCCCCGTGGAATGTTTCGTGGGGTGTCTGGTTGAGTGGTTGCCTGTTCGCGGGGTGTCTCGTGGAATGTTTCACGGGGTGTCTCGTGGAATGTTTCGTGAAGTGTCTGGTGGAATGTTTCGTGAGGTGTCTCGCGGGATGTTTCGCGGGGTGTCTCGTGGGATGTTTCGTGAGGTGTTGCCCAGTTGGGTATCGTGAAAACGTGACCATGCTGCACATGTCTATATCCCTTTCCGGGTTCGTGGGTCCATCATGTTTCATGAGGCTCCTTTCTTCAAGGTTCCTGACTAAGGATTCCTTACTGGGAATGCATAACCGAGGATTCGTGCATTCGGATGTTCCACTCAGGTTTCCTTGCCAGGATGTCATCACTAAGGACTCCCTACATGGGCGAAAGGAGCCCCCGTGCAGTTTGGAAACAGGAAAGATATATATATATATAGAGAGAGAGAGAGAAAAACAAAAAAGACAGTGAGAGAGGGAGAGAGAGAACGAGCGAGAGAGAGAGAGAGATAGGGTAAAACCAAAGATGAACGATAGAGACTGAAACGCTCCGAATCAATCAGGCCACCTTCTGGCTTGGAGCCCTGAAGATCCCATCCACTGAGTCGGGCTCAGTCGACTCCAATCGTTCGTTCGAAAACGTCTTAGAACATTTGTTCTGTCTACCCCCCCCTCCCCCATTGTCCCCCCATATCCCGTCCTCTCCGCGCAGTGATCTTAAAACAGGATTTCACTATTTGGTTTTTCCGATGTGTTTTTTTAACCGTTCGTGTCTGGTTCTTCCAAAATTGTGCTCTGGCTGCAGTGCCGCCCTCATTTCCGCGCTCTGGTCATTCAAAATCGTGTTCCCGCTGCAGCGCTGGCCTCGTTCCCGCGCCTCCGGACGGCACTTGGCATTCGAAAGCGCCGACATCGGGCAGGCACGGTTGCGGATGACATAGAGCCGGCGTTCCGGACAGGCCTTGTCTTCTCGTAGACGTGCCATCTACCCTCCAAGCCATCCCGAGCAATGCCACGGCATGCAATGCGATGCTCATGCTTTTCGTTGCTACGCTTTCTGATGCAATGCTTCACTACGCAAGTGCACGCCACGCTAGGGCATGCTATGCTCTGTCGTGCCCTTCTACGCCATGCTTTTCCATCCATCGCGTAGATTATTGGGACCATTGCCCTGCTCGACATCCGACTGTGCGAATAGACAGGAGATCTACGCCATGGTAAGGGATGGGAGGGAGGGGTAGGACGTCAGATGTGACGCTAGCGCACATTGCATGTCCCACTGCCCCTTCCCCTCACAGCCCTCTCCCCCTTCGTCTCCCCCTCCCCTTCCTCCTCCTCCTCCTCCTCCTCCTCACCTCCTCCTCCTCCTCCTCTCGCTCCTCACCCGGCGGAGGTCCACGGAGGACGAGTGGGGCCAGGACACCCTGCCGCTCAGCAACGAGGAGCGGCCTCGCGGCTTCCACCGACCTTTTGGGCTGTGGGACGCGCGGCATCGACAGGAGCAGGAGCACGGCGAGGAGCAGCAGCAGTTGGAGGACCAGGACCAGACGCAGGAGTTCAGAGGAGGAGGAGGACAAGGGACCGATGCCGCTACCCTTCCCTCGCTCTGGCATGCTGGGGTTGCCTGGTCGGCCTTTCCTTGCCACGGCCGGATTCTCTTCTAGAGTTTTGGTCGGATCGGAAAGCGTTGGTTTCCCCAGCATCAGGAGGGAAAAACACACGCAGACACAATGAATCGTCGACTCCCAGGAAAATACGGGAAAACATGGGAAGTGGGGGGGAAGGCAAAAACCAAGAACATACGGGAAAATATGGGGAGTCCTGTTATTTGTGTGTGTATTTATTGGAGAGGCCTGACGGCCGGTGCCGCCGACCCTGATCGAAAGGGCTAGGAGTGGGGGGAGGAAGCGGAGGAGGAGGAGGAGGAGGAGGAGAAGGAGGAGGAGAAGGAGGAGGAGCAGGAGCGGGAGCAGGAGGAGGAGGAGGAGGAGGAGGAGGAGATGAGGATGAGGAGGAGGAGGAGGAGGAGGAGGAGGAGGAGGAGGAGGAGGAGGAGGAGGAGGAGAGTAAGTGCATCCTTTGTGTGCCCGCTCGAAGAAAGTGCGCCCCGGGAGTGTGATATTCTGACTTGGGACGTGCTCCCGGAAAAGAGGAAGAAGTGCATCTCGGGCGTGCCCGCTCGAGAAAATGCGCCCTAGGGGGGTGGTATTTTGACTCGGGGCCCGCTCCCGGGACGCCTCTGCGGGAGGAGGGGGAGGAGGAGGAGGAGGAGGAGGAGGAGGAGAAGGAGGAGAGGAGCAGGAGGAGGAGGAGGAGGAGGAGGAGGAGGAGGAGGACCAGGTTGAGGAGGAAGTGCATCCCGTGCGTGCCCGCTCGAGGAAAGTGCGCCCCGGCGGGCGTCGTATCTGCCCCGGGCCCCCCCCCCCCTGCGGGGAAGGGATCAAAGGGAAGGGGCTTCCCTTCGACTCCACTACGACGTCGTTTATTGGATAGCGCGCTTGAGGAGGAGAGCCCCGGGAGGGGGAGAACGGAGACGACGGAGACGACGAGTCGAACGGAGAAGCCCCTCACACACGCCGACAGGGTCGGCGGATTTGTGTATCACAGGGCCCCTTCAAGTGCGGCGGAGGACAGGCGAAGATTGGGGTGGCGGAGGGTCAGCGGGCAGGACGAGGTCGAGCAGGAGCAAGAGGGCCGAGGGCAGGTGCTGGTGCAGGACGAGGAGGATAAGGAGGACGACGACCGAGGGGGGACGAGGGGGAGGACGAGGACGAGGAGCAGGAGGAGGAGGAGGAGGAGGACGAGGACGAGGACGAGGATGCGGTGAAGGAGATGAAGGGAGTAGGATGATGGGGGGATGATGAGGCAGGCAAGCTCGAGGAGCAGCACAAGTCGAATGGGGCAGGGTTGGAGCAGACGCGGGAGTCGGGGGATGGGCAACATCAGCAACGGCGGCGGGGCAGCAGGAGGATTCCGACGTGGACGAGCTAGCGGCCACCGCACTCCGCGTATGACCAATAGCAGCGGAGAGCGGCGAGGCAATGAAGACATGACAGAACCCGTCTTGGCAAGCCCCATGGCAAAAACCCACGGCACGAGCGTTGGAACGGAGCATCCTGGCCCAGCACCACAATCTTGGCATCGCTCGGACGTGTGCATTGTCCTTTGGGCGGGGACCATCGGGGAGAATCCTTGATCATCTGGCGGAAAAAAACACGCACGAAACCCAAACAAACAAAGAGAATAGACGTCCGAGCGGCGGCCAGACAATTGTAACCTGTGTCCGGGTGCGGCGTGGGCCCTCCTCGCCGCCGCGCGCAGAGGAGCTCTCCTTCGCGCTCGGCAAGGACGGCTCCACTCGGAAGAAGCTGGCCCGGGCCAGCGGGTGCATTCTGGAATACGTCGGCAACGTGGTTCGCAGGGGGAGGAGGAGGCGGAGGAGGAGGAGGAGGAGGAGGAGGAGGAGGAGGAGGAGGAGGAGGAGGGGAGGAGGAGGAGGAGGAGGAGAGGAGGAGGAGGAGGAGGAGGAGGAGGAGGAGGAGGAGGAGGAGGAGGAGGAGGAGGAGGAGGAGGGGGGGGGGGGGCAGAGGACGCTTTGGCACGCTGCCCCTCTCGGCCCCCCCGCCCCGCCTCCCCCTCCACCTGGCCTGCGGCAGGCTCGTGCCGTGACGACCCCAGCCTGGGCTCCTGGCACCGCGTGGACCGTCCAGCCTCGAGCGATCGGTGGCGTTTCGGTTGGGACCGTTCCGTATTGACCGATTCGTGGCCACGGGCCGCGTTTACTTTTGGACTTGGCATCGCTCGGACGTGTGCATTGTTCCTCTCGGCGAGGACCGTCGAGGAGCATCCTTGATCATTTGGCGAACAAGCCACGCGCGAAACCGAAAGAAGCACAGGGAATGGACGTCCGAGCGATGGCGAGGGGCCGCGTTCACTTTTGGACGCCCCTGCGGCGGGGCCGCCGCCGCGTCGTCACGACACGGAGTTGCCCTACGCTCCCCCGCCCCGAAGCCTCCCAGACCTCGAGCAGGCTTCGGGGAGCCACCGCAGGCCCAGCGGCCCGACAGTCTCTCAACAGACCGTCGGGGACCTCCTTTGCCGCGTTTCCTCCTCCTCCACCTCCACCTCCTCCTCCTCCCCTTTTCCTCCTCCTCCTCCTCCACCTCTTCTCCTTCTCCTCCTCCCACCTCCTCGTTCTCCGACCTCCTCCCATCTCCTTCCCCTTCTCCCACCTCCTCCATTCCCCCATCCCCATCCTCCTCCATCGTCCCCCCCCCCTTCCTCCTCCCTCATTCTCATCGTCCTCCTCCATGCTCCTGCTCCTCCTCCACCCTCCTCCTCCATCGTCCTCCCCCACCCCTCCCTCATCCCCGTCCTCCTCCCCGTCCCTCCCTTCCCCCGCCCCCTTGCCCCGCTCGCGGAGCCGCCCGCTCCCCTCGCGGATAACCGCGCCCTCGCCTCCCCCTGTCGGAAGTTTCACAGGCCGGTGTTGCGGCCGCCCGTTCGCCTCCCCCCCGCTCCCCTCCCCTCAGTTTCGGGGGGCCGTGCCGTGGGGGTCACCACCAGGGCGGTGGTCCTCCTCGAAGTCGAGGTTCAGAGTTGGTCTCACAGCTCAAGGGTGGGGATTGAAGCTCGAGGAGGGGCGGGGGATCGCAGCCCAAGGAGGGCCTCACACTGGGGATCGAAGCTCGGGGAGGGCTTCGAGATCGGGGTCGTCCTGGGGGGCCCTGGACTGCTCCGGGACCCCGCCGCCTCGAGGCGCGGGCGCGCCCTCGAGGAGGTGGCCGGGCCCCCCCTCTTCCCAGCATCGCTCGGAGGTGAGCATTTTTTGCTCGGCGAGGACCCTTCAGGACCATCCTGGACCATCGAGGAATAAAAGCACACGAAACCGAACAATGCACGGGAAATGGACGTCCGAGCGATGGCGAGTAATTTGCGGCCCTGGCCCCCCTCGGCGCCGTCCCCGGAGGCCGGGCCCTCTCCGAAGACGCGCTCGAGGGCGGAGGGGGCTCCTCCTCCTCCTCCTCCTCCTCCTCCTCCTCCTCCTCCTCCTTCCCTCCTCCTCCTCCCTCTCCTCCTCCTCCCTCCTCCCTCCTCCTCTCCTCCTCCTCCTCTTCCTCCTCCTTCCTCCTCCTTCCTCCTCCTCCTTCCCTCCTCCTCCTCCCTCCTCCTCCTCCTCCTCCCCCTCCTGCCTCCTCCTCCTCCTCCTCCTCCTCCTCCTCCTCCTCCTCCTCCTCCTGGCAGGGCTCGGTGCGAGGACCAGGGGGAGGGAGGGCAGGAGGAGTCTCTGGTGTTCCTGGCCCTGTCTGGGCCTCCGCGACTTCCCTCGTAGCCGCGGCTGGGCTCGCCTCGACTTCCTGGCTTGAGTCCGCCACAAAGAAGCTCTGGGGACTTTGAGGGGTGTCTCCCCATCCTTCGCATACCCGGTTCCCGCCTATGTCATTCCTCTCCCACTTCTGCGTAGCCTTGCACATATTTGGCGCGTCTGCGTCTATTGCAGGAGGGGCCCTAGATGCATCACGAATGTTATCATAGTAAGTGCAAACGCATGCATTCACCATCATCTCAGGCGCGTGTTTTGAGAGCGCGCTCGGGAGGGGCGACTTGCACGAAGCAGTGCGCAATCATGATTGTGCACGGTTCACGCGTATGTCTTTTGTGCAGGTTCCACGCCCAGTCAGGACGGTGATTGTTGACGAAATCGTTTCCATGCGCAAGCAGAGGGCACGGAAGGCAATTGGATGGAGTGCGGGACGCGGGTATGAGGTCCAGGCGTATGGATGCATGTTGGAAGGGTTTGTGCTGGGAATGGTGAGCGGGGCAGCAACGGAATCGGGAGGCTTTCATGGCCGGGACCATTTCAGCTCGCAGGCGAGCGAGGGACTATCTGGATTGGCTCATGAAGCAGCGAACTGGGACCGTGTATGTCGATTGTGAAGGCGGGCCATCATGTTCAGTTGCGTTCTCGCCATGGTTTGTCGGCCAGCCAGAGGAGGAATGTTCAGTGTATTCTTCCAGTTACGGTATGTTCGGATGAAGCTACGCAGCAGGGGTCGACCTAAACTTTGTTTTGTCGATTGATTGAACCGTTTGTGTGTTGAGTTCGTTTTGCAGCAAAGGCGAAACGAAGACACCAGGAGGGGAAAACGAAACCAAAACGAATCCGGAAAACTTTGTTCAGGTCGAGCCTTGGCGACAGGCAGCGTTTGCACACAATTGCGTCTCCCGTGGATTTGTGTTTGCATCTTGCCACGCTCGGCCTTCTCGCCCTCCCTCCGCCCCTCTCCCTTCCTTCGCCCACTCGATGCTTTCCAAACCTCTCTCAATCCTCTCTTCATCCCTCCCCCTCGCATCTCCATCCATCGTTGTGTCCCTCCCGTTTGTACACTCGAATGGCGTTTGGCTCATCCCGCAACTGTGCCCATGTCGTGGACACGAGAATCTCTACAGGGTCTCTGGGAAAGCATCTGGGATGCGTCTCCAAATCCTCTCGGTGGCCTCCAGTGGACCTCTTTCAGGAGGGAAAAGACACAGACACAATGAATCGTCGACTCCCAGGAAGATACGGGAAACTATGGGAAGTGGGGGGAGGACAGAAACCCAGAAAATATGGGAAACCATGGGGGATCTGTTTATGTGTGTGTATTTAATTGTGTGTGTCCCAGGGCCCATTCATTCTTCGGGGGCCTCTGGAGGCTTCCTCCTGGCCTGGAGGCAGTCTCGGGGGCCGTCTTGGGGGAGGGCCCTGAGCGCTGGAGAGAGGAGCAGGAGCAGGAGCAGGATGGGGCTGCGCGGGATTCTGAGGATCTTGACGCCCGAAATGGGTACGGAAAGAATGGGTACACTGCCCAACAGCAGTTCCTGTTCATTCTGAGCAGGCCTCGCTGTCCGCGCCGCCGCGGCCTGTGTCCATTCGAGACAGAGGGCCGCCCGCCCAACAGCGGCCGCTGTTGGTTTGGGACAACATGTGCTGTTGGGCATAGTACCCATTTTTTCCGTACCCATTTCGGGCGTCCAAAGGGGAGGAGAAGGCGGGCGACGACGAGGAAGAGGAGGGAGGGGGAGGAACGACGGGAGGAGGGAGAGAAGCAGAGGGGAGCAGGGAGGGAGAGCAGCTGACCGCCTCCCCCCTCGGGCCCGCTCCCCGCGGGAGGCGCCTCCATCTCATCCTGCGGGGGGGGGGGCGTCCGCCACAGGCCGCACGGACGTGAGCATTGTCGACATCCCTGGCGGCATGGAGAGCGTGGCCAGCGTGTTCAAGAGCATCACTCTTCGCGCCCTCGAGCAGGAGGGACGCCCCCCCCTCCTCGATGATCCTCAGGACGTTTGTTGGCCCAGTGTGTGCTTGCCCCCCTCGGCCCCATCAGCAGATCATGACACCGCCCGGGTCGTGTCGAAGGGCCTCGATGGATAAGCACGCGTTGGGGCTAACACACGTCCTGCGGATCATCGACCTTCGCCTGCCCGCCCTCCCTGCCGGCCCTGGCCTCCCGCCTGCGCGTTCGTCGTCGTCTGCCTCCTGCTCCCCTCCGCTCCCATGGGCCAGGCAGCAGAGCCTGCCCGGGAGCCGCGTGGAGCTCCTCGTAGACTCCTGGGCCTGCGGGCGCTCCTGGCCGATGCGGGGCCTCGAGCGGGAGGGGGCGGGCCCGGACGGAGAGCCCCGGTGCTCCTGACATCTCCTGCGCCCCTCCCAGACATCGGGCGTCTCGAAAACATCGAGGCAGAGGTTTTTCATAGTCTTTGGCCTCTCGGGGCCCTCGCCGGGCCTCGGGACCGTCAAAAAACGCCTCGGCATGAAAAACCGGTCCCAGGGAAGTGGTCGGGAGGTGGGGGGCCCGCGTCTCGATAAAATCGAGACGTCGGATGTCTGGGCTGTTGGGAGGCGCCGGCGGGTTCCGGGGCAGCGTTACAGGCCCAGGGCGGGCGAGGCCCGTCACCCCGGAGGCAGCCGGCCGCGGGGCCGGCCCGGCCCCGCCGAGAGAACCGATGTCGGGAGCCGCCCCCGAAGACGACGACCATAGGAGCTTGGCGGCGCGCAGAGGGGGGTGGGGGGAGGGGGGTAGGCTTCTTAGAAGCACCCCTGCTTCTGAGAAGGCGCGTGCCTTGTCTGCATATGTAATGCTGGCGCCTTCTAAGAAGCAGCTTCCTTCTAAGAAGCCTTACCCCCTCCCCCTACCCCCCTCTGCGTGCCGCCAAGGAGCCCCCCCCTCGGCGGTCTCCTCGCGGGAGCGCGGCCTCATGGCCGAGGCCTCCCAGGGCGAGCGAGGTGTAGCTGGCAGGGATGCGAGGGGCATCGGACTCCCGTGCGCCCCCCGCCGATGGGCGCCGGGCACCCCTGCCCAGCCCAGGAACCTGCGGCTCCGCTGTCGGGGGCCAGTCGCCGATCCATCGGCGACGCACCGCCGACGCCAGGCCGCCGTACACAAGGGCGCCCTCGAGGGCGCGAAGTTATTCGCGCTTCGCGCTTCGCGGTTCGGCTCCGATTCCTCCTCATCCTCCTCTTCTCCCCTTGGAGGCGGCGCGAGAGCGCGAAGTTATTCGCACTTCGCGCTTCGCGCGGCGCGAAGCGCGAAGCTGGGAGCCCTTGCGTACAGCCCCCTGAGCAGTGCCCCTCCTCATTCCCCAGGACGGGTGTCTCATCCTGAGTCGCTTTTGGGCGGCCCCGAGGCCCGGCGAGGGCCCCATGGGGGCCGAAGTGTGCGAAGATCTTCCGTCTGGATGTTGTCAAGACGTTGGATCTCTGGGTCCTGACGTTGCCTCTCGCTGCTGCTCTTGCCCTCACCTGCGCCTGCGTCGGGGGGGCGGGGCAGGGCCGGCCCCCGCGGCCGGGTCCACCCCGGGCGCGTGGCCGGGGCGCGCTCGAGGGCGGGCGTGGAGGACGACGGCCAGGGCTCACGAGCTGCGCCCCGCTGCGTGAGTCGTCGTTTTTTTTTTGCTGTGGACGACGGCGAGGGCGTCTGTCTTTTTTTTGTTGCTGTGTCCGTGTGGTTTGTGCGTCGTGCGCGCTTCCCTCTTCGGCTTCCTCCTGGCCCCGTTCTGAGTGGCAGTGTTGGATGTCAGGCTTAAGTCGGGCCTGTCCCCCTACAGGGGGACTTTCGACGAAAAATGCGACATACCCAAAAAACATAGTCCAAACATAGTCCAAAAGTAGTCTGGGGACATTTTTTTGTTTGCCCTTTGGGGGTACTTTTGTAGGGGGACACGCCCGACTTAATGTTAGGCTTGCTCCTGGTCGGTTAGGCCCTCGCGCGCCCCGCCCGGACCCTGACTCGCCGCTGGCGCTCTCGCCTGCGGCTGCCGACAAAAGTCTGTGTGCACGCGTGTGTGTGTGTGTGTGTGTGTGTGTGTGTCTGTCTGTCTGTCTGTCTGTCTGTCTGTCTGTCTGTCTGTCTGTCTGTCTGTCTGTCTGTCTGTCTGTCTGTCTGTCTGTCTGTCTGTCTGTCTGTCTGTCTGTCCCTTTCTTGCCTCTTGTGACCTGGCGCGTCCTTGGGCGCTCGCGCCGTCACACCCCCTGTCACTGCCAGCCATTTTGCTTGCGTTGCCACCTCCTTCCGGCAGCCCCCGCGTTTCCTCCGCCCGTTGCGTTGCTGTTCTGGCCCACCGCCTGCGGGCGCTTGGGTCCCGGCCCTCTGGCCACCTGGCGCGCCCTTGGGCGGTCACGCCGCAATGCCCCTGCCACTGCCAGCCACCTGGCTGCGTTGCTCCTGCCTCCGCAGGGCTCAGCGCTGGGCCTACTCCTCGGCGCGCCGCGGTACCTCTGCCCTTCGTGGTGTCCCGCTGCGCCCGCCCGCCCTTCGTGGTGTCCCGCTGCTGGCAGCCGCCCTCCCGCCACCTTTGCCGCCGTGGTGTGACACTGCCGCCCACCGTGCTCTAGCCCTGCGCGCCTGGCTGCTGCTGCCCCCCCGGCTGCTCATCGTCGAACTCTTCGACGTCTGAGCGTCCCTCCTTCCTCTCGGCCGTCCCCCCGCCCCCTCTTTGCCCACCGGCCAATTCGCTAGTTAGTGCCCCTTGTATAGCTTCTCGTTGGAGCGGAGTTCGCCGCCTCGCCGCTGCAGAAAAAAGTGTGCGTGCGTGCTTGCGTGCGCGCGTGCGTGCGTGCGTGCGTGCGTGCGTGCGTGCGTGCGTGCGTGCGTGCGTGCGTGCGTGCGTGCGTGCGTGCGTTCGTGCGTGTGTGTGTGTGTGGTGTGTGTGTGTGTGTGGTGTGTGTGTGTGTGTGTGTGTGTGTGTGTGTGTGTGTGTGTGTGTGTGTGTGTGTGTGTGTGTGTGTGTGTGTGTGTGTGTGTGTGTGTGTGTGTGTGTGTGTGTGTGTGGTGTGTGTGTGTGTGTTGGTGTGTGTGTGTGGTGTGTGTGTGTGTGTGTGTGGGGGGGGGGGGCCGTGCGTGCGTGCGTGCGTGCGTGCGTGCGTGCGTGCGTGCGTGCGTGCGTGTGTTTGTGTGTATGTGTGTATGTGTGTGTGTGTGTGTGTGTGTTTGCGTGCGTGCGTGCGTGCCTGCGTGCGTGCGTGCTTGCGTGTGTGCGTGTGTGCGTGCGTGTGCGTGTGCGTATGTGCGTGTGGGCGCGAGAATGGGGCTTCAGGGCTAGGCGAGTACCTTCAGAGCCCATGGGACACGACGTGCGTCAGGGTGGTGCAGAACGGAAGCTCCCTTGAACCGTCTTGAAGAAATAGGTGTGTGCATGTGGCGGTCGTTGGGTGTCGAAGTTTGTGAGGGGTGTGCCGAAGGGATGCTCCCTTGAGCTCTCTGGCGGGGCATCTGGGAGTTCGTAAGGGTCCAGGCGGCTCGACACGCGTGAAGAGTTTGGCTGGATTCAGGCTTCATGAAAAAGCGGGGCACCAATCCATCGCGCGAGAGCAAGAAACATGACCCAGAAACGTAGTGCTCTTACGCACGTATCATTTAATTTGCCCAGGGACCTACTCGCGCATATCATTAGTATCTGCACGTGTCCCGAGAGAGCCGGCCCGTGGAAGCTTCGAGAGACTACAGGGGTTCCCATAGCAGCCCCACGATAACCACAAACCAGCCCCAGGACACCCCAAGACGGCCAGCCACCGCCCCCAGTCGGTTCCAAGCCGTCCCCAAGACCAGCCCAGACGGTCGCATGACGTGTTTACCGGGCCTTTTTCCAGGAGAGCTTGGATAAACCTCGCCCATACAAAGCAAGCGCGGCAGGGCAGATACCCGCGATCACACGAACAAGTGGCAAGAATGATACACTATTAGTCTGTGGAGTGCGCGAGCTGGTTGACTTCGGCGGGCCCCCTGCAGGAGCGCGGCGGGAGCAGGGCGGCAGGACCCGTGGTTGGACGTTTCAGGTTTGCAGAGTTTGGAGGAGCACATGTCTAGGTGGAAGGAAAACAGGAGGTATGCGATGATAGCAGATCGAGCAGAGGGCGGGGGAGGGTGGATGGGGAGAGGATGGGTCGGATGATGATGACCGTGAGGATGAGGGGTGAGGATGGGAAGGCGAGGGATGAGGCAGAGAGGAGGAGAAGGAGGAGGTGGCGACGGAGGAGGAGGAGGAGGACGACGACGACGAGGAGAAGGGGGGCGAGCCGAGGCCGGGCTGGCCTCCTCCAGGAGACTCGCACGTTCTGCTTCCTCGAGGGCAACGCGAGCAAGTCGGACCGCCTCCTGATCTTCGGGGAGAAGGCGCCGCGGGCTGCGTGGGCCGACCGCCCCCCCCCCTCCCGCCGCCCCACATCCCCTCCCGCTCCCCCCCTCCCGCTCCCCCCCCCCTCCCCTCCCGCTTCACTCCCCCGCCCTCTTCCCGATCCTCCCCGGTTCCCCTGCCTCGCTTCCCTCCCCTCCCCTCCCTGGGGCGCACCGGCCCCGCGCAGCAGATTGCGAGGGGGATCGCCGGAGCACGGCCCTGGCGGCAGGAGGCCCGAGCCAGATGTTCGAGCACCGAGGAGAGCATATCGGCATCAAGATTGAACTGCACTAGGATTCGATACTGTGCTGTGTTATTTCGAATGCTGAGTTGTGATGTTGCACGTGGTCGGATACACACTCTTACCACAGCCCGATCAGTTTGGGATAATGAAGGGGTTTGGGAGGGTCGCGGGCATTCGGCGAGGCTCGGAGGCACATGCGAAGGAACCCGCCGCAGGCGCCGACTTTTAGCACAGTGCGCAACGAGCCCGAGCAGGCGCCAATTATTTAGTCAAAGCAATGCGGGTGGATCGCGGCCAGCGCATCGCGGAGTACAGCCAAGACTCCAAGACGACCTTGGGCTGGTCAACAGCATGTGCATGCCATGTGTGTTTTAACACGGAGTCTCCAAAGCCTTTCGGATTTTCTCCGCGCGCGAGGATGTCCAGCAAAGTAAGCATCGAGATGCGCTCACGGGTTCATCAATTTGACCGAGATGCGCGTGTGACTTCGTCAATGTGCACGAGGTGGGCGCAGTATTCCATCAACGAGTTGATCTGGCGAGCAATTCGAGTCTCCAACAAGTTTGCATTGCTCATTCATGGCGCTGGTTCTGACACGCAGGAGGCGATAGACGATGCGACTGGTTACGACGCGTGCAGAAGGGGAGCACTTCATGACCGCGCCGCGATGGCATGATAGAGCAGAGCTCTGTGCCAGGGTGCGCGGGTGGGCATGGGCATGCTCGCGCAGTGGCAGGTACTGTATGGACCACGTACAGTCGGGGCCCTGAAGAAGGAACCCTTTTCGTTGGGGAGGGGCTCCGTGTTCCTTGATTGCTTCACAGTTTGCCTTGGGTTTTCCTTTGGTTTTCGATGGGAAATCGACGTTCAACTTGTGGATGAAAGGGGCCGCGTTCCTTATTTAGGGTTCCTTGGGTCAACGCTCCGACTGTATACTTTAAGATACGGAACGGTATGAACTTCTATCCATCTATCTCAGCGGCCAGAGGCCACGGGCGACGACGAGAGTTCACAGGCCACGACCCGGGACCACGGGCCACAACCAGGAACCACGGGCCACGGATCTGAAGTTTAGTGACGCGCCCACCAGCCTCACAATAAACACATCGGGCCCGCGCAGACAAGTTGGCCAGGGGAGGCGCGGGTACGTTGTGAGGGTGTGTGCTCAGGGTATGACTTCATCGCGCAGGCAGTCCGACAGCCTTGCCGTCGTGCAACGCAGCAAGAAGGGCGTTGAGTTTGAGCTCTCTGTCCGCAGCTTTGTTCTCATCTTCCTTCGTCCGTCCTCCTTTGCCTCTTCCTCCCCACACAGCGTTCACAGAGCCAACTTCCCATATTTTCCGTATATATACATATATATATTCCTTAGTTGTATTCGGTTATCCAATGAGCAAGACCTCGAACCATGGGCTCTCAAGTGTTCTTGTCTTGTCTTGTCCTCCCCTTCTCCAAGTTTGAAGGCATCGTGGACGATGGGTCCTCTTGAGGGCCTGTTGGGAGCTCTTTGGGGGTCCGCCGGGAGTCTTGGGGCCGTCTTGGAGACGTCGTGGGCCGTCTTGGGGTTCTCGGACAGTCTTGAAGCCCGTCTGGGGTTCTCTCCGGGCAGTTTCGTGTCGTATCTGAGATTTCGTGGGGCTTTCCGATGCTTTCCCGAGTCAATCTGAAACCGAACAGTTGCAGAATTGTAGCGATATTGATGTCCCATGTGTCTTTCAAGTTGTTCTGCCTCCTCGGGCCTCGCTGAAGGTTTCCTTAGACATCTTTCGGAGGCATCTTGAGTTGATCTTGTGGCTGGCCTTCGGGAGCTCGTTGGGCCAGGAGGGTCACCTCGTTTCCCGCTTCTTTCTCCCTTCCCCCTCCGCTTTCCCCCCCTCATGTCCAGTCATGCTACGTCTGCTCCACATCAACGTGGCCAGTGCCGGTTGCACTTGTCTGGCACCGCTTGCAGCATCATTCAGGAGGAAAAGAAACACACAGACACAATTAATCTTCGATTCCCAAGAAAATATGGGAAAATATGGGAAGTGGGGGGGAAGACAGACACCCGGAAAATATTGGAAAATATGGGGGATCTGTTTATTTGTGTGTATTTATTTGTGTGTCCCGGGGCCCCTTCAATTACGTGTGCCCCGCGCGCGATCAGGCGTGCCGGGAGAAGGCCAAGGCTATTGCGATGGAGAAGATCGAGGCGAAGATACAGACGCAGGACGACGAAAAAGATGGTCGCGGCTACCGAGGTGGACGTTACGGCGGATACCACGGAGGCGGGGGAGGCAAGCAGCGCCCAGGATGCCCAGGGCGAGGGGAGGAGGCGAGGCGAAGAGGGGGATGGAGGGAAGTCGACAGGAAGGGATGAAGGAAAGGAGGAGCTTGCCGGCACTCCACCAAAGGCGAACTTCTGATGTGGACGGCTCCTGTTGAGAGGGTATCAGGACGAGTCCGCTCGCAGGCGCCTCGCAGGACGGCTGTACCTCTGTTACGCCTGCAACTCCTCCTTTCCTCCTCCTCCTCCTCCTCCTCCTCCTCCTCCTCTTCGGCCTGCTCTTTAGGGCACGAGCACACCACATCGGCGATGCGGCTCGGTCGTGAGATCTCGTTGTCTCGGGCTTCATTCCAGATTCCTCTAGCAGGGGTGCCGGGGGGCTTTTGTTGGTGATCTCATGGTCTAGGATCTCGCAGCGGGGTCACGTTGGCCGCATTCCGCGGCCTGGAAGATTTGCCAACAGAGACTTAGCAGGTTTGGGCAGCGGCACGCGTGTGCGCCACACATGTGCAACGCGTGCCGCGCGAGCACAGAGAGCGAGCACGCGAACACAACCCACCCGTACCGAGCGCAGCTTGCGTGCACGGTCCATCTAATACCACGGAGGATGTGGATGGGGGGAGAAGAAGTTGTCTGGGATCACCTTAGCGAAGAGGTAGACCCAGCACAGGGAGCTAATCCAGTGGATGCAGGCGTTGAGGGGGATTGATGTGGAGGTGGGCGAGGAGAGGTCCTGCGGATACGCTGGAAGTTCCAGGGTCCAACCTGGAGGACGAGGGCGAGGAGGAAGATGAGGGAGGAGGGGCGAGGAGGAGGAAGGCCATCAAGTGTGACACCGGTCGTCCCCAGAAGTAGGATGCGGATAACAAGGAGAAAAAGGAGGAACACAAGGTGGACGAACAGAGCTAAGAGGAGGAGAATTCAGGCCGTCTCGTTACACGTGTCACATATTAGGAGTGGAGGGAGATCGCTATAACAAATCAGATCGTACTATAAACCGCCGAGAAGGAACATGATGAGGAGAAAAGGACAGAAGGATGAGGACGAGGAGGAAAACAAAGAGGAGGAGGAGGAGGTGGAGGAGGAGGAGGAGGAGGAAGATCGTTACATGTGACATGCGTTCGTCATCGGGACGAGGGAAGAGGGCGGGGCAGGAGCAGGAGGAACAGAGGACACCGCAGGTGCATCAACGATGTTGCCGTACCCCCTCCCGGGCAGCGTCCCCTCCCCACCCTTCCCCACGAGCATCCTTTCTCACTTCGGCCACGCGCAGAGGGGGGTGGGGGGAGGGGGGAGGGCTTCTCAGAAGCACCCCCGCTTCTTAGAAGGCAAGGGCCCTCTCTATAGATGTAAGGCCAGCGCCTTCTAAGAAGCAGCCTCCTTCTAAGAAGCCCTCCGCCCTCCCCCTACCCCCTTGTGCGCGCCGCCAATAACTGCGCGCGCCCACGGGAAGACAAGCACCCCGTGGGCCCGCACTTCCGTCGGGAGCTCCGTTTGGAAGGAAAAACGGCCCTCCGCCCTCCGAGCCATCACGGCATGCCGCGCCACGGGGTCCGCGGCGGCGGACTCTCGCGCTCTCTGGGGCCTCCTGCAGTGGCCCCGTCGCCGCGGCCGGGCTCGCCGAGGTGCCCTGGTCGACGAGCGCCCTGTATGCAAACGACGCGAAGATCGGGACAAACTCGGATCGGGATAACTCGGAGTCTCTGAGAATCGGCGGGTTTGGAGGATGTATTGGGCGCCGCGGCCGCTCCAGAGCGTTCCGGAACGCTCTGAGGGCGCTCCGGAACGCTCCGGAGCGACTTCTCCCGATCCTAGCCCTGTTTTATATGTATAGAGATGCGCAGAACAGCAGCGGCGTCGGCAGAGTTGCGCCACTGCAGGGGCGGGAGGAGCAGGAGGGCTCGCGGTCAGCCGGTGTGTGCTTCACGGCGCCATCGGGCATCTCCGGCCGCGCTCCTCCGGTGCAGCGGCACGGAGCGGAGGTTTGGAGCCACGGGAGGGCGGGTCGCACGCTTCCCCCGGCTCTGCCTCGCCCTGCGCCTCCGCGAGGCAAGGGCGGCTGGTCCGACAACCGCGGCGGCTGGTCCGACAACCACTACCACTCCGACAGCCACTATCCCCGGAAGAGCAACGGCGGCTGGTCCCCAAACGGCGGCGATCGGGGCAAAGGGCGCCCACATCGAGAGCACAATCGAGGGGGCTAGTCCCAGTCTGGTCAGGAATGGTGCCTTCGAGTTGCCTTCGGGAAGGCTCCGTAGCCAAGCCGACCCAACGGACATCAATGGCTCAACCAGAATTGCCTTAAGCAGGAGGGGCGCATGTGAGCGCTTTTTATTAATTCTTTTGCCAATCGGCGCAGGCCCCCCCCCCCCCGTGGAGTAGATCTTGGCTGTTTGAGGCGCCTGTTTCAGGCTGGGGGAGTCTCCCCTCATAGGACGTACTGTCGCAAATAGTCGCGCTAAGCAGAGGGTCGGAGCCAAACCCCCTCCCCCCCCCCTTCCGCCCAATGTCGAAACGTCGGTATGTCGCGCGATCCTGCTAGATGCATACGCCTCCGACGGATCAACGCTTGCGAGTCGCAGCCCCCTGGAACTCTCGACCCCTTCCCTGGGACAGGCGCTTCATCCTCAGCCGATTTGGGGCGGCCCTGGTGCCAGGATCCTTCCCCGGTGGCGTCGAATAGATTAGCAATAACGCACGGTTTCGTGCTCGGTGCCGACGATAAGTTTCTGCGGATCCGAGGTTTCTGTTTCCCCGCCCCCCCCCCGAGGGTGTCAGGAGGCCTCCAGCGATGCCCTGCATCCTTCAGGGCCCTCAGACCTTTTCATTTCCGAGGACACCATCCCCGCCGATCGCAACCCATCCCTTTCGCCAGGTGCGGCTCAGCCAGGGCTTCTTCTGCTCTGCCAGGGCTGTTTCCTTTTCTTCTTCTTCTCCTGACCATTACAATGATCATTATCATTATTGCAATTCTTATCATCATTAGCATTATTATTATTATTATATTTATTATTATTATTATTTATGATTATTATTATTATTAGTATTAGTATTAGTATCATTTGTATTAGTAGTATTATTTATTATTATTATTGTTATTATTAGTATTAGTATTATTATTATTAGTTTTATTATTATTAGTATTATGAATATTATTAATATTACTATCATTAATAATATTATTAGTCTTACTATTATTACTATTATTATTAGTAGTAGTAGTATTATTAGTATTATTATTATTATTATTATTAGTATTATGATTAGTATTATCATCAGTATTATTAATATGATTATGATCATTCTTATTCTTATGTTTACTACTCGTATTCATACGTGTTTCCTTTCTCTTCTTCTGCTTTCGCCCTGCCGCCTCCCTTCTCTGCTCGGCCAGCGCTGCTGACCCCGCGCAGGCGGCGGGAACGACCACGCGGGGAAGGCGGAGCCGGCCGAGGCCGCGCCGCCCTCCTCTGGCTTCCTGGAGGGGGGGGGGGGCGAGGAGGAGGAGGAGGGGAGGGGAGGGAGGGGGAGGAGGAGGAGGAGGAGGAGGAGAAGGAGGTGAGGAGGAGGAGGATGGAGAGGAGGAGGAGGAGGAGGGAGGAGGAGGAGGAGGAAGGAGGAGGGAGAGGAGGGAGAGGAGGAGGAGGAGAGAGAGGAGGAGGAGGAGGGAGGAGGAGAGGGGAGGGAGAGAGGGGAGGAGGAGAGAAGGAGGAGGAGAGGGGAGGAGGCGAGGGAGGAGGAGGAGGAGGAGGAGGAGAGGAGGGGCGGAGGAGGAGGAGGAGGAGAGGAGGAGGAGGAGGAGGAGGGGGAGGATGAGGCGGAGGAGGAGGAGGAGGAGGGGGGGCGGGGCGCCTGCCGCCTGCCTGGGGCAGAGGGCGCGGCATCGCTCGGACGCGTGAGTTTGTCTCGACGGGTCCGTATCGTTGAACCGATCCCTATCCCCATTCCCATCCCCATCCCGATCCCCGCCATCCAACCACCCCAGTTGGGGATATGCCCCTCGAAGCCCGAAAGGAACCGCCTACATCCCATCTCGGGGGTAAAGCGGCCAGTGGGGCCCGGGCAACGCCAGTGGGGATCGGAATCGGTCAAACGATTCTCAACGGGGCAACGGGGCCCGCATATTGAGTCATCTGGCGGAAGAATACACGCACGAAGCCGAAGAGTACACGCAGAATATGGCCGTCCGAGGGACAGCGAGGGGATGGCGAGCAGGCGGAGGGGGCCCCCTCCTCGTGTGTCGGCCTGGGCCACTGGCCAGAGCTCGACTGCACGCGAGAGTGACTCCTCCTCCTCTCACTCCACTCCTCCTCCTCCTCCTCCTCCTCCTCCTCCTCCCTCCTCCACCCCTCCTCCTCCTCCTCCTCCTCACCTCCTCCTCCTCCTCCTCCTCCTCCTCCTCCACCTCCTCCCCTACCTCCTCGTCCTCCTCCTCCTCCTTCCTCCTCCCTCCTCCTCCCCTCCTCCTCCTCCTCCTCCTCCTCCCCCCCCTCCTTCTCCCTCCTCTCCTCCTCCTCCTCCCTCCCTCCTTCTCCTCCTCCCTTCCTCCCCCCTCCTCCTCCGCCTCCTCCCCCTATTCCTCCCCCTCCTCCCTCCTCCTCCTCCGCCCTCCTCCTCCTCCTTACTCCTCCTCCTCCTCATCCTCCTCCTCGTCATATCCCCTCCCCCTCCTCCTCCTCCTCCTCCTCCTCCTCCTCCTCCTCCTCCTCTCCTCCTCCTCCTCCTCCTCCTCCTCCTCCCCTCCCTCCTCCTCTTCCTCCTCCTCCGCCTCCTCCTCCTCCTCCTCCTCCCTCCTATTCCTCCTCCTCCTCTTCCTCCTCCTCCTTCTCCTCATCCCCCCCATCCTTCTCCTCCTCCTCTCCTCCTCCTCCTCCTCCTCCCTCCTCGCCTCCTCCTCCTCCTCCTCCTCCTCCTCCTCCTCCACGAAAGCCAACCAGAAGCAGTGTATGAGAAGGCTCGAGGCTGGTCTGCACCCGCGCACGGGTGCGAAGTTGGGACGGTTGCGCCAGTGCGAAGATATCTGCGCTGACCGTGTTCCTGTGCCCGAGACTGGCGGTGGTGCCAGCTCGGGTTCTGACTAAACTCGTAGTTCTTTTGGGCCCTCCCCCCCGCCGCCGCCGCCGCTGCGCTGCTGCTGATGCACCACGTCTACTCTTCCAACGTGGCTGTGCTCAGCAAGGCAGGCGCGCGCGCCGCCGCGAGGGCGAGGTCGGGCTCCTCTTAGACTGCATCGGACCCTCAGGTCGGCACTCGTGCCTTCCTGAGGGCGCATCCGTCTGCGCCCTCCTCCTCCTCCTCCTCCTCTTCCTCCTCCTCCACAATTATTCAATATGAAAATATTCTCCCTCTTCCCCTGATGGCGTCCGGGTGATGGCCGCGCATTCTCCGCGTACTGTTTTTTACACACAGGATGCCCGGGAAATCCCGGGAAACGACTCTCGCTGAGGCGCCGGCGTCATTTTCGGGCCGAACGCCCCCCGCGTATTGTTTTTTACACACAGGGTTCCCGGGAAACGGGTTTTCGCCTGCGTTTTTTTTTTTATATATTATTATGATGCTGTCGCTGAGGCGCCGGCCTCATTTCTGCTCCCGAATCGTTCCGAATCGTGCTCCCGCTGCAGCGTGGGCCTCATTTTCGGATCGGTGTTTGGCCTCCGTCGTTCAGGATGGCGTTCTCGCCCCAGCGCGGGCCTCTTTCTCGCGCGCCCATCCGCCCGCCACCACCGCGCCGCACCACCACCACCGCCACCACCACCACCACCACCACCACCACCACCACCACCATCACAACCACCACCAGCACCAGCACCACCACCAGCACGAGCACCAGCACCACACCAGCACCACACCACCCACCACCACCACCACCACCACCACCACCACCACCACCACAACCACGCACACACGCACGCACGCACGCACGCACCACCACCCACTACGCACGCGCGCGCGGAGCCACAGGTCCGCTACGACACGCGTCCGCGGATAGAGAAAATCAGCGCCATGGTAAGGGATGGGAGGGAGGGGTAGGACGTCAGATATGACGCGAGCGCACCTAGCTTGTCCCCCTCCCCCTCCCCCTTCCTCCCCTCCTCCCCCTCCCTCCCCTCCTCCTCTTCCTCCTCCTCCTCCTCCTCCTCCTCCTCCTCCTCCTCCTTCCCCCTCCCCCATTTCCCTCCTCTTTCGCCGGAGCGGCCTCTGGTGCGGGCCCGCTGGGGTCCGACCGCCGAGCGCGAAACGGCAGTACTGTGTTGCCCGCTTGCGCGTTGGTCCCCCGGCGGCCCCCAGAGACACGCGCACCAGAGGTCACTCTTCACCCGGGGCCGCTCCTGCGTGCATCCGACCACACAACCGGCGCTGGGACGAGGGCGCCCTCGAGGGCGCGAAGCTCCTCGCGGTCAGCGCTTCGCGGTTCGGCTCCGACTCTCCCTCATTTTCAATTCTCCCTGGGGGGGGGGGGCGCGAGAGGGCGAAGTTATTCGCGATTCGCGCAGCGCGAATCGCGAAGTGGAGCCCCCTGGTGGTAGGAAGAGGAGGATGGTTCGGGAGGATGATCCAACGCACCTCTTAGTTGCCCGGCTCCCTCGTTCTCTGAGTCTCTCGGGCCTCGAGCTGCTTCCAGGGCCCCCCGAAGCCTGCGATGAGCTGCGTGGACTTTCGAAGACATCCAGGCATGGACTTCGTCGGCACGGCCTGACGCGGGCCAGGAAATGATTCGGCATGGTGCATGGGAGGGGCATGGTTTTGAGCAAATTCAGTTCGGGATGAGCAGTCAGGTAAACGCGTGGGGATAACAGGTGGGCTCCGAGATATGGTCGCACAATTTCTCAACCTCTCAGAACCAATTTCCTCTCAAATGCAGACACCTGTGAGGCAGCCACAGCAAAGCTACGCTGAAGAGGTTGCGATTGAGCTTCTCGCGCTTTACCCTCGGACACTTGCGCTTTGGTTGTTTGGCATCCCGCCATGTGCTCTGCGGCTACTCACATTGTCGGCCCCGTAGTCGTCATCCAGAGGATACGCGGCGCTGGCTGGCGTGAAAGTATCTAGTCGTACGTTTACCGCTGCCTATGGCTTACGTAGTCGGCACACGGACCTAGGCCCAGCGATAAGAAGGTCGGCTCTACCTTTGCATCTTTACCCCCGCGGCCCGTCCTTGGCAGATTTGAGGTCCTGAGAATAGTTATCCGGGCGACGCGGAGGAGAAATAGGAGGAGGAGGAGCATCTGGTCGCGATAATTCGAAAATGCGCAAGGGGAGGAAGAACAGGTCGCGATCTTCTTTGGAACAGAACGGGTATGATGCCACGATTTTCAATGGAAGAGGATGGTCTGGAGGAGGGTCAGGCAGGATCAGGAGGAGGAAGAGGAGGATGTTCAGGAGGAGGCTCTACATTCTGTAGCGCAGTCCCTCCACGAGGTCAGCGACGTGTTCGTACTGCGAGGGGACATCAGCGTACACGTTGTCATCCAGACTGGGCCGAACGGCGAGGACATCGTTTTTGTCAGCGCTCGTCTTGTCAGTCGGCTCGGCAGCCGAACCCCCAGTTAAAGTGATCTCTCGCTCTCTCTCTCTCTCTCTCTTCTCTCTCTCTCTCTATCCCTCTCTCCCTCTGTCTATACCTATATCTGTATGTATCTATATCTGTGTATATACCTATACGACCACCCTTCGGGTGATACGGAGGTTCGGGGGGGGAGGAACCAACGTCTCACTCAATCGGTCTCACTATCGATCTCAGTATCGATCTCAGTATCGGTCTCGCTCGATCGATCTCCCTCGATCGATCTCACAATCGATCTCACTTGATCTATCTCACACTCGATATCACCCGATCATCATCATCATCATCATCATCATCATCATCATCATCATCGTCCTCATCATCATCAGCATCATAATCATCAGCATCACCACCACCATCATCATCATCATCATCATCATCATCATCATCATCAACATCAGCATCAGCATCAGCATCATCAACAGCATCATCATCAGCATCACCATCATCATCATCATCATCATCATCATCATCATCATCATCTCATCATCAACACCATCATCATCATCATCATCATCATCATCATCATCATCATCATCATCATCATCATAATTATCATCATCATCATCATCGCGGGACACCGCGGGACACCGGCGGGACACCGCGGGGCACCGCGGGACACCGCGGGACACCGGCGGGACACCGCGGGCCACCGGCCGCCCGGAAGGGAGACATTTGGTCCGGCCGCGCCTCAGCCACACGGGACACCAGCGGGACATCGGCGGGACACCGCGGGCCACCGGCCGCCCGGAAGGGAGACATTTGGTCCGGCCGCGCCTCAGCCACGGGAGACTTTCTTCTCGCCCGCCCACGCAGCTTCGCCTCGCCCGCACGCACGGCACGCACGAACACGAAACCGAAATCGATTTCCCGGTAGGGGGGCTCTCCGTTCCACTTCGATCTCACCCTTTCACCTCCGATACACATATATATATATATATATACATGTGTCACTCTCTCTCTTTCTCCCTCTTCCCTCCCTCCCTCTCTCTCTCTCTCTTCCCGACGTCCTGCACTGTGTAATATTCAAGACGCATGCGGCGAATCACCGCCGCTCCCTGCCTTTTTGGGAGCGCCTATTGGGCCGAACGTTGTGGCACGAGCTCGGCCAAGCTATCGGAGTATGTGTTCCCCCAGCCGTTGTGGAACCCCTTCGGGGAACACGCGTGGGAGGAAGAGGATAATGACGAGAAGAAGGAACCAGAGTCAAGGGCCATGCCGGAGGCTTCTTGAACGCTCTCGGAGCCATGGTGGTTGCCTCTGCTCCCTGGCGGGGCAGGGATCAAAGGGACGGGGCGTCCCTTCGACGCAATTGCGACGTTGGTCAATTTCGTTTTGGCTGGCGCGCTCGAGGAGGAAGACCCAGGAAAAGGGGAGGGCGGCGACGGGTCCAGGGATAGAGAGGGAGCGGCGACGACGACGACGACGTCGACGAAGCCGAGTCAAACGGAACAGCCTCTTCCACACGCCGACAGGGGCGGCGGATTTGTCACGGCGATGGCCCCCGAAGCTCCTTTCCTGCCCGAGACTGGTTTTTCGATGCAGTGTGCTGCGCTGTGGCTGCGGGGCCCGAAGGCGGCACTCAGGACGCCGAAGCCGAGGAACAAGTCCAGTCTCGGGACGATCGACACGATTACGGAAAGACTGGGCACGATATCCAACAGCGAATTCTGTTCATTTTGAACCGGATTCGCTGCCCGCGCCGCTGCGGACGTTGTTCATTGAAGACAGAAGGCCGCCTACCCAACAGCGGCCGCTGTCGCTTTTGGACAACACTTGTTGTTGGGCATTGGCCCCTTCTTGCCGTACCCATTTCGGGTGTTCGAACCGTCCGGCTCCATTTCAGCTCATGACGTTTGGAGGTCCATCGTGTGAGACGCGGCCCGAGGATCCGGTGGTCGAGGACGTCGAGAACCACACGGGCACCAAGCTGACGCTGCTGCGCGACAAGGGCCAGATCCAGATCCACGGCCCTGCGGAGAAGGTGGCGCAGGCCCGCTGCGCCCGGGGGGTGGCGAAGGGAGGCGCGGAGGAGGGAGGGAGGGGAGCAGGCGGGGGAGGGCGCAGCGGAGCGGGGAGGGGGAGGAGTCGGGGGAGGAGGGCGAGGGGGAGGAGGAGGAGCAGCAGGAGAAGGGTACAGTCGGGGCGTTGACCCAAGGAGCCCTGAATAAGGAACGAGGCCCCTCTTTTCCATAGGTTAAACTTCGATTTCCGATCACAAACATAACGAAAACCTGAGGCAAGCTGTGAAACACTTAAGGAACGCGGAGCCCCTCCCCAACCAAAAGGGTTCCTTCTTCAGGGCCCCGACTGTAAGGCCTGAGAAGCAGGTTCCCGACGATCAGGATGGGGGGGTAGCAGGGCGGGCAGGGGGCAGGAAAGCGGAGCGGAGGGGAAGCGGGCCACGAGGCCGAGGAGGCGCTGGATAAGAAGGAGGGCGATCGACCATCGAGGAGGAAGAGGAGAAGGAGTGGGCGAGCGAGGTAGGGCGGACGATCATGAGCGACAGAAGGACGTGCACGTACATGAATCCACGTTGATTTCGAGAGTACGTATTGCGCGAACGTGCGTACCACGCGGCGGGTCTCGCAGATCGGGGAACCATGTTCATGTACGTGAGTGGGTGCATACGTCCTTCGTATGCTCCCTAGAAGCGGGGGGTCGGCAAGATTTATGCGTTCGCGCCAAATGTGGCATCACATCCCTTCCTCGTATCCTTTACACCATGGAGCAGGGTCCTCGGGTCCTCGTCTACTCGCAGTGCTGAGTGCAGAAATATACATGTATCCATAAAGGCAAGCCTTGTGCCCTGAAACGTGGCACATGCTCCATCGGAAACGATAAGCAGATATTTGATCATTCAATAATGTGTGTTGTGCGATGGCCAGAGCGTCGTTCCGCGGGACGGAGGGTCTATGCAAATTTCTGCATGTGGAGAACGGTGCAACGTGAGCACTTCTCAGTGCTTTCGATGCGATAGTAGTACCAGCGTTGAGGTGAGAGCGTCGCTCCATTGGGCCGTTATTCAATGTACATGCTCAAAGAGAAGAAATTCAGCGGGAACGCCATGCTTGATGATGCGAGAGTGCGGCCAGCGCCGCCGCCAGAGCGTCGTTCCGGTTTGCAGAGGTTGCATGGAAATCGTGAGATGCGGCAAGCGATGCATCCCGATAATTATGTTCTAGCAAGGCAGAGAACGGTATGACCATAACACAGTATTGAGGACATTTCGAGGGGAATGGCACGTCAGGATCAGGGGAGAGAAATCATGAACGACAGTTGCTCTGCTCAGGGATGTAGAGGAGCATGCAGTGAAATGAAGGGCTGGGTGCGATGTCAGACCCCAAGAGGGGGAGGATGAGGAGGAATCGCAGGAGCAGGAGGAGGAGGAGGAGGAAGAGGGGGAGTGGAAGGAGGGAGGGGAAGGAGGACGAATTGGCGGATGAGGAGGAGGAGGAGGAGGAGGAGGAGGGCGAGCAGAAGGCCAGAGGCCGCATGATGCCTCTTGGAGTCTCCTCGGATGTCTTTCGAGCGTTTCTTGCAGTCCTCTTGGGGCGTCTTGAAAGGTTTCTTGCCAGTCCTGGGGGCATCGTGCAGCGTTTTAGGTGCCTCTGAGGGCATCGTGGGACGTTTTGAGGGCCTCTTGGGACCTCTTTGGGGCCTCTAGGGAGCCGCTTGGAGGCATCTGTGGGGACTCTTGTGGGCCTCTTGGGGACTCATGGGCACCTCTCGGGGCCATCTTGGTGCACCCTTGGGAGCATCGGGGGCCATCTTGGGGCCATCTTGGAGGAGACATATCAAGCGATGGGCCGCACTAAGTTACCCCCCTCCAGGAGGCCAACTTGTTGCCAAACTCTCATCGACATCAATCATGTTGGCATTATCGCCGAGGCCTCTTGGGGCGTCTCGAGTGCCTCTGGGGGAGGGGGGTCTCTTGGAGCCTCTTGGGGATCTCTTGGGCGCCTCTTGGGGGCCTCTTGGGGACCTCCTGGGCACCTCTTCGGGCCGTCTTGGTGCATCCTTGGGAGCCTCGGTGGCCATCTGGGGGCCATCTTGGAGGAGATCGATCAAAGGAGGAGAGCTCCTTAATTGGGGCCCCCCAGGAGGCACACACGTGGCCAACACCTTAGAACGATTACTGATGCTCGCCCTCTCGCCGAGGCCTCTTTGGGCGTCCTGGGTGCCTCCTGCGACCTCGCGGGGGCATCCTGGGAGCATCCCGGAGGCACCATGCGGGGACCCCCGGAGGCCCCGCGGGGCCCTCTTTGGGGCACCCGTGGGCGCCCTCGGGGCCATCTTGGGGCCCTCTCGGACAAGGTCGGTCAAAGGATGGGCCCTCCTCCCTCCTCCCTCCTCCCTCCTCCCTCCTCCTCCTCCCTCCTCCCTCCTCCTCCTCCTCCTCCTCCTCGGCTCGGATGCAACTCCTTCGGGGGTGGGCAGACCTCCTACCCTGACACGTCGATTCATTAATTGGCCGTTTTCGGTTCGCGGGAGGGCGTCGCGGCCGTCACCCTTTGCGGGTCCGGGTGCGTCGGTGTCGGTCCCAGATCGTTTTCATTAAGGGGAGGTTTGCTAAAGGGAGGTTTGTCCAGCGCCGAAGTTCGCGCCCGCCCCCCCCCCCCCCCAGGAAGGAGGCCAGCGTGTGGTCAAAACCTCGATGAAGTCAATGATATTGGCCTTCTCGCCGAGGCCCTTTTGGATGCTCTGACTGCTCGCGGACCCTCCCTGTCCAGACAGGGGGGAGGGTCGGTAAACCCCTTCTCCGAAATGGAAGAGGGAAGATGGAAGAGGAAACTCCCGAAACCATGCACGCCCAAAGGGTCGGTGGGATTCCGATCGAGAAGTAGCAGTCGCTCGAAGGACGGAGGAGAGGAGCAGTGAGGGGGGAGTCGGGGAGGCGGGACTGGGACGGGGGATGAGGCAAGGAGGACGGGTGGAGAGGAGAAGCGTTGGAGGGTGGGGCGGGAGGAGGAGGAAGGAAGAAGTTTTCGCGCCCCGATGCCCCTCACGGCGGTCTGGAGTTCTTGCCTCGTCCCTGCGGCCAACAGCCGAGCCAGGCCAAGCGACAACTGCAGCAGTTCGCGGACAAGTTCGTCACGTGCAGGATACAGATGCGGCCCCAGATCACGGCGGCGCTGGCGAATAAGGCCTCGCCGCTCTCCCGAGCATTACTGATGCTGTACTGCTCCTGACAAGTAGTAGGTGCAATCCGGCTCTATTTGCTGGTAGTTGCAAGGTACAGTCGGGGCCCTGGAGAAGGAACCCTTTTCGTTGGGGAGGGGCTCCATGTTCCTTAAGTGTTTCACAGCTAGCCTCAGGTTTTCCTTATGTGTTCTATCGGACATCGAAGTTTAGCGTGTGGAAAAAAAGGAGCCTCGTTCCCTATTTAGGGTTCCTTAGGTCAACGCCCGACTGTAGAGGACACTACTCGACCACACCTCCTCCTCACGACCGCGCTGGCGGTCGTAGATTCCCGTCCGCGTCCCCGACCCTCGCGACCGCTGTGTGCGGTGAGCGCTCCTTGCCTCGGTAGTCTCTGCTCGCGCGTGCGTGTGTGTGTGTGTGTGTGTGTGTGTGTGCGTGTGTGTGTGTGTGTGTGTGTGTGTCTGTGTCTGTGTGTGTGTGTCTGTGTGTGTGTGTGTCTGTGTGTCTCTGTGTGTGTGTGTCTGTGTGTGTGTCTGTTTACCACTTTGAAGCATATCCCTATCCCTATGTCTGACATCACCCCACCTCGATGCCGATCTTAAGGATTCCCTCAGTCTCTGAGGGCCTATCCCTAAGACTGTCCTCGCTTTTTGCTCCCCCCTCTTAGGGATAGGGATACGTTCGAGGCTGGTTATCTGTGGCCCTCCGCTGCCCGACTCTCCCCGCTCGTCTTCCTCCGGCTCGACGGAAGCAGTCCTCCGCCCCCTGCGCGTCTGCCGCTCTTTCTCGCTCTCGCTGTCGCCTGTGGGCGTGTGGGTTCCTTCCCCAGCGAGAGGAGAGGGAGGGGGAGGAAGAGGAGGAGGAGGAGGAGGAGGAGGAAGAGGAGGAGGAGGAGGAGGCGGAGGACGAGGAGGGGGAGGAGCAGGAGGAGGAGGAGGAGGAGGAGGAGGAGGAGGAGGAGGACGAGGAGAAGGAGGACGAGGGCGAGTCGGCCTCGTCGCTCGTCCTCCCTTTTCCCGCCTTCAAGATGTGGTTGGCGATCCCCACCTTCAAAATATGTTTGGCGAGCGCTTCGACTTGATGGTGCCAGGCAGCCATGTTGTGATCAACATCCCTCGTGGAGAGCTTGCCGCCACAGCATTGCTTCGTGTGCAGGCCGATGCGCGCCAGTTAGGTGAGCATTGCACGGACTTATATTTCCAAGACCTGAATGTGACTGGTTGGGCAGAGGCAACACAAGCGGGGGGGTACCAGTACAGCGCGTCGCAGAGCGAGGTCAAGACTCCAGCGTGGGTTGCGTTTTGCAAGATCGAGCTGAAGGTCGTTCGCGGGCACGCGGATGGTGGCCTGCCGTTTCTGAACGTGTACGCGAAGCACTTGGGACGAGCGGAGTTTGTTGTCGGAGGTCTTCTGGGCGCAGACGACCACAGCGACGCGAGCAGGCCCGCAACTGAGTGCGAAAAATTGATGAGTCTGTCCAGCGACGTGAGCAAAAAGGCTCACGGTGCATGAACCAGCCGCAAAGCCAGGCAGCCGTATGCGCCCTCTGCAGTTGAGACCGCGGAGGAGCCACTGCTACATCCTGCTGAGCTGTTGCGTGTGAGAGCGAAGCATAAACAAAAAGAGACAACGAGCACTGCAGCGAGTCAGCTGCACTTTTGTGAGCACGAAGCACAAACCGAAAGGGACTGCGAGCACTGCAGCGAGTCAGCTGCACGCGGCTGATTCGCTGCAGTCGTTCGGCTGCCAGCCGCCCATGCAGGGAGTGCGAGGAGGCTAGCCCTCTCAGGAGGCTTGGAAGTCCTCCAGCGTTCCGAGAAGTGCTCTGAGCCTTCCCCGTAGACGCAGAACATTTCTCGGAAGGCAGGAGGGCTTCTGAGAAGCCCCGCCGCCTTTTGAGAAAACCGTCTCCTTCTCCGTCCCCCCCCCCCGGGAAATTGCTCCCTTTCCCCCGGTTGTCGGCCTCGTCGCTCGTCCTCCCTTCCCCCCGGTTGTCGGCCTCGTCGCTCGACCTCGCTTTCCCCCCGCGCGCCCGCGCGCGGACGGCGCATGCGGCGGCCCCCTTCTGGGCCCGGCGCGCGCGGGGACCCGTCCGGCGCGCCTAAAGGGCCTTTCGGGGCTCTTCTCTTCACCCCCCATTTACCCAGACATGATCGCGTAGCAAAACAATCGAGACGGGAGGTTTTTAGTTATTTTTGGCCACGGGGGGCCCTCGCCGGGCCTCGGGACCGTCAAAAAACGATTCCGGACGAAAAACCGGTCCTGCAGAAGGAATCGGGATTTCCAGGGACGCCGTAGCGTCCGCCCCCCTCCCCCCATCCCCGTAATATTACTGAACGTACGCGGGGGGTGGCTGGGTGTTGGCTGGTTCCTCCACAGCCATGGCGCGGTGCTCACAGGCATGCAGTGGTGCTGGCAGGCCTGCTTTTGGCGTTCACAGGCATGCTGTGGGGCTCGCAGGCCCCGCCCCCACACTCTCCCCTGTAAAGTACATGGGGAGTCAAGAATCTCCAGCTGGAACGGTGGTCAAGAGCAGCCCTTGCCTGGGATGGCGTACCAGTATGTTCTTCGTTGTTCAGCATGCCACCTTGGAACACTCTTCGTTTGGGGTAGCTAGCCCTCGGTCACTGGGGTCGACGCGCGCCGTCGACCCTAAAGGGCGACGACGGAGGCAGCGACGGCGACGGCGACGGCGATCCACGTTCACGACGGGAGGCGTTTGGCCGTTCTCGGCCGCCGAGGGCCTTTGCCGGGCCTCGGGACCCTCAAAAACGATTCGGGATGGGAACCCTGCCCTGGGGACGAGGATCGGGAAACTCCCTCAACCATTCACGCCCTAGAGGGGTGCCGTGATTCCCTCCTGCACCCCAGAATCGCGTCGTCCACCACAGTTGTCTCCAAACGGGGCACGCGCGTATCCCCCCGACGACAACCCACGGCTCGGACGTATCTCCACTTGCGGCTCAGTCACGTCGACTTGAATTGCGGTCCTTTGTTAAAGCGATGCGGATCGACCAGTGCGGCATGTGCATGCGGTGCATTGCGATGCTTGGCGCAGAGTGCCGCATTCCGTGTAAGTATGCCCATCTGTCGCGGAGGGTTCCGATTGACACAGTTGCGCTTTGTTTCTCCCTTCTCCCTATTCCCATTCCCTGGCCCCCGCTCCCTCCCGCCCTCCCCCCCCAACTCCGATTCCCCGTTCCCTTCTTGCACGTTTGGCACAGGTGAGCCACTACATCCGGCCGATGCCCTGGATCGCCGCGGCAGAGGTGGACGAGAGCGCGGACGTCCTGAAGATTCAAGGCCGCCCGCCCGTTTTCGATAATTGCTTCATCGTTGAGCCCATACCCTTCCACAGCCTCTCTTTTTTTCAACATGGCACCCATCATCGCCTCTGGGGCGCGGACAATGCGTTCCTTCTCGCCCTCCGCCTTTTCCTGTCTGCTCTCCTTGCCGCTGGTCGGCGTCTTGCTCCTCCCACCTTTCCTGATTCCGAGCGGCCCGACCCCCCTCTCTTCGGAGCTGGTGTTCGGATGCAACTCCTGGGAGGTCAAATTTTGTTTTCGCCCTGGTCCGAAATCCGGCTTAATTCAGTTTAATTCCGCTTAATTCTGGTTCAATTGTGCTTAATCCCGCTTAGTCCGCATCCGACTTAATCCTGATTAGTCCGAGGCCCACTCCGGCGTAACAGCTTCTACATGGGGCTTAGTCCTCCTTAACCTTTCCGACAGAAACCTCCCAGCAGTTGCCTCCTAACTTGTTGTTGGTCCTCGCCCCCCCCCCACGCCAGGGCACCAGGACAGCGTGGACCAGACGTTCAAGGTGTTGCGGGAGGTGTACAGGCCCGGGCGGTCACGTGCAAGACGGGCCTCGGCCACCGGAGTCGGGGGCGGCAGAGAGGGGGGTGACGACCAGGGGGATGGGGATTCGGCCGCCTCGCTTTCGCCTCGCGCGTTCGGCTCGCTCGGCGTCGGCGCGGTCGTTGCGTGCACGTCACCACCCACCAAACCACCCCAACCCAACCCGAAGGCTCAGATTTACCCTCGATTTCCAGTGGGGGGGGGTCGGGGAGCGTGGAAAAAACACATGGAGACCGCACCCCCCCCCAACCCGAAAGTCGGGTCAAATTCGGGTCTTCGGGTTGGGTTGGGGTGGTCTGGTAGGTAGTCATTCGTGGCGTGCACGGCTCACGTCCGCGCGCGCAATGGGCGGTGCCCGCGCGCGGCGGCGGCGCGCTCGGTGCGCCCGCGGGGCTACACGCGGCGGCCCGCGAGCGGCCCGCAGCGGCAGGGTGAGTGGTGGGCAAAGCATGGCGCGGGCCATGAGATTTCGCCAGGCCCATGGCGCCTCCTCCTCCTCCTCCTCCCCCCCTCCTCCTCCTCCTCCTCCTCCTCCTCCTCCTCCTCCCCCCCCTCCCCCCCGTGGACTCAAAATATGGTGTTATTTAACGACTGGGGTTTCTTTAGTTTTTCCGTGCAACAAAGCAGACGTATGCGATCTGGTTGAGAAGAGAAGCTGTGTTCGGACACAACGACAACCAGTGCGAACATACGCGTTCAAGTTGCGAAGGATCAGTGATACCTACATCGCAGATGCTGGGCGCTTGCGAGTAATCTTTGCGTTGGAGGGCAGCAGGGCCTGGTCTACTGATTCGTTTGCCGTTACTGCATGTTTCATGCGGGGCACGAAATGAAAAGGTGCCTCTGCTAAAAGAAATTGGGAAAACTGGGCCAGCATATCATGCTCTGCAAAAGTATGCGACTGGTCACCATGGCATTTCGATAAGAAGCCAACGAATAGTTTTGCCAACTTCGCGGCCGTGGCAATACACAGAGCATGTCGTTGAGTTTTCGTCCTTAGCGTGGACAGCATGAACCCTCAGTAGCACGCCCTCGGCGGCAAGGAAGATATCTTTGTTCATGATCGTGAGAATCTCTGCAGACAACCAAGCGCCAGAGCTTTCTTCATATTCAAACAAAGTGTACTCATGCGCGCGAAGGTCTAGACACCTGAGGGCAAGGAGCAAAGCCAGCTTGGAATGCGACAACACCTTGAAGTCCGTCATCTTGGCGTCCGCAATCAAATACTTCAGAAGAGTTCATATTGTTTGCACGTCTGCTCCGACGCTGGGGAACGCCGCGGATGCTTCCCGCCGCAGTTCCACCATGTAGGCCAGAATGGTCTTCCCTGCTGTGATCGCCTCGGGCGGCTGCCCGCCAGGACTGCGCGGCGGAGACGGCGGGGCTGCGGGGCCCTGGAAGGAATTGATGATCCCCTTTCCAAGCTTACGCCGCTTGGGGCTTACCCCCGCAGGCGTGCCAAGTTCAAGCGAGCTTGGCACTGGGCGTTCCATTATTTGTCTTCCCAGCTGTTCTGTGTACGGAGGCGGCGGCGCTGGCCGCGCCGCGTCTGGCCGACCACTCGACGGGCCCGCCGAGCTGGACGACGCCCCGACCAATGCATCGCGGCCAAGCGGCGACGGCCAGACGACGGCGTGCCCGCTGAGCGGAAGGACGGGAGACGCGCCCTTCGCCAGCCTGTACACGTGCACTTTCCTGGTCAAGTGCAGCTCTGGGTTGTCGACCGTAGGCAACGGCTCGGATACTTCCGAGATGGTGATGATCTTCTGGACCCCGAAAAAGAATCGGCCGCCGTTGTCGTCGCAGTGCACCATGCCGTCGGGGTGAGCCCGCACGCCCGCCGCATGGGGGCCTTTCTGCACAATGAATTTGCCACCCTGGAACAACTCAGTATGCGGCACTTCCTCCAAATGAAGATTGTCCTGTGAACGGGCGGGGTTAGCTTGCCCGCCGAGCTGCGTCCGAGGCGTTGAATGCGGCTGCGCGAGGCCCAGGCCTCTGGCCAAGCGCCGCGTTCGTCGCCTCGGGCGCAGCTTCGGAGAAGGCGAACTCACCCCGAAAAAGCCTCGCGGAGAAACTCGTTGCCATCTTTGAGGATCCAGAACGGGCCGCGCGCGTCGTGGTGGACGTGCTGGGCCCCGAGGAAGCGCAAGCCGTGCTTGAGGCACTGGTCCGCGTAGCAATGTCCCTGAGCCATCCGCCTGGCCGGTGCCGTTGCAGCTTTCATCTTTCGGGTGACAGGCGGGAATGTGGATGGGCCCGCGAGATGCTGAAATTCACGAATGATGCGGTCTATATCCTCGATGTCTGTTGGGTTTGGCGCCCTGCTGACAGCGCCGCCGTTGCCGACAGGGCGACGGGCCTTGACTTTGCGGCGGGGGGGGCGCAACCTGACGGGCATCTGGTTTCTCCTGCGTGCGATTCGGCGCGTCCTCAGACAAGCGGAAATGCGTCAGGTGGAAGTGGTGCAACTCCGCCGCGGTCAGACCCGCTTCTTCACCATCTTGACATTAGTGCCTGCTGGATTGATCTGTAGGCCCCATGCAGGCTTGTAGAAAAAGTAGGAACTGAAGATTGCAAGGTCCTTCACCAGCCTGTTGTGCTCCGCAGACGAGATTGGCGGCTTGCACGTGCTTTCGCGCAAATCTGCCAACGGGGACGGCGCGGTCGGAGAGTGCGCGGGCTCGCATATGCGCGGGGATGGCGCGATCGGAGAGTCCACGGGCCCGTAGATGCGCGGGGGTGGCTCTGACATGCTGCGCACCTCCGTTGCTGGGGGATATCATCTACGCCGATGAAGTGGCTGATGAACGTGTTCTTGGTCACCGCCACGTGTGGCTCCACGCAGAAGCTGCGCGCGGGAACAAGCGACCTTCCGCGGGTTGCAGCCATTGCCCAGAAGCACTTACACGACCTCGCAAGAAACAGGGTGTCTGAACAAAGTAAACTTTGAGCCCGCACGACTACGGATATAACCAATGCGAAAGAAACTTGGAGAAGCAACTTCGAACGCACATGTTCGCAACGATGATAATGGACAACTGGCCGAAACACACCGCAATCTTGTCGGGTGCGCTTCGCATACCCATCGGGTACTCTCGGGGTGCTCTCGGGGTGCTTGCGGGAGGTATTCCAGTTATCGTTGCTTGGAGTTCCCTCAAACACCGCTACGTTGAAGGCATCCCTTGTTGGGTAGTAGGGATAGTAGTAATAGTAGTAATAGTAGTAGTAGTAGTAGTAGTAGTAGTAGTAGTAGTAGTAGTAGTAGTAGTAGTGCTGTAGTAGTAGTAGTAGTTGTAGTAGTATTAGTAGTAGTAGTAGTAGTAGTGGTAGTATTAGTAGTCGTCGTCGTCGTCGTCGTAGTAGACGTAGTCGTAGTCGTAGACGTAGTCGCAGTCGTCGTCGTAGTAGTAGTAGTGGTAGTAGTAGCAGTAGTAGTAGTAGTAGTAGTAGTAGTAGTAGTAGTAGTAGTACTAGTAGTAGTAGTAGTAGTAGTAGTAGTAGTAGTAGTAGTAGTAGTGGCTTCAGCAGCAGGGGGGGGGATGAGGCCAGGGGGGGGGGGGAAGGGAGACAAATGGGCGCGCCTCCCAGAGAGGGCACAGCAGAATGCGAATGCTCTTTTTTCTGCCACGAGCCGTGGCGCTGCTCGTGTGCTCTCCGCTGTCCAAGAGCTCAGGCCTCCCACAGCGCCACCTCTGCCTCGAGGTAGCGGTTCCGCTCCTGGAGGCGCTGGCGCTGCCTTTTGTTCTTGGTCACCTCCTAGAGGCCGGCCGTTTTCCACTGTCGCCATTGCTGACCAGGGGCAAGTGGTCAACGGTAGCGCTCTGCTGGGCGAGACGCGAGTCGCACCCAGCAGTCGCTACTGAGATCCGCCGCCCGTGGTCTGAAGTGGCACTGGTTAACAGTATGCCAATGGCCTCGCTGCGCACCCAGTTCTGGCGCAGGTCCTTCTTGGCCTTCGCCAGCGCCTTCTTCGCCGCGGCCGTCTTCGCGTCCGCTTCCTCGCGCCAGCGCTTCTCCTCGTGGGGAGACAGGCGCGTTTTTTTTTTTGTTGTTCGTGATGTGTTGCCGTGTGTGAATTGGTGTAACGAGCGAGGGTTCTTTATGTCGGTCCTGCAAGTCGCCCAGCTTCAGCGTCTTGGTCTGTGCCCAAGCCGTTTTCGTCTCGCTTTTCCAAGTCTTGCCCTCGTTCTTCGCTTCCTGGGCGTTCCTCATGTGCTTGTTGGAGCGCCTCCTATGGGCACGTTACGAAAGAGAGACGTCGCCCAGTGCCACGCAGAAGCAGCGCGACTTGGAAACACAGTGCAACACTCGCGTGTTATGTTGCGTTCTCGAATCGCGCCGCTGCTGCGCGACGCCAATTGGATGTTGGGTTGTGGTGTGTTTTTCACACATCATGGTCTTGAGGGCGTCTTCTTTCTTGTTGTGCTGCTCCGTTGCTTTGCGGACCGCCGCGCGGACCTTGTCCAAGGCTGCTTTGCGGAAGGTCGCCACCAGCTTTTTCACCCGTGGCGACTGTAGAAAAGCTTGAAGCCGTCGTTTGGCCTTGTAGGCTCGGTTTTTTTGCAAGCTTTCTCTTGTACTGCTCGGTGTCCTTGTCTGGAGTGCCCATGGCTTCAAGCAGTGGCGTTTTGGCGGGGCTGAGAGCCTAAAAGCTTTTGCCCGCTACGCCATCCCATCATCTTCTCATATTCCTTCCTTTCTTCCTCCCTCATTGGAGCGCAGTGCGATTGCAATGCAATGAAATTGCAATGCAACGCGATTGCCATGCAATGGAATGCAATGCGGAAGGGAGGGAGGAGGATGAGTGAGAAGGAAGGGTGAGGGAGAGTGGAACGGAGGAGGGAGAACAGGCACCCGGGAGAGAGATGGGGAAAGATTTCCCCAGGGCATTCGGACGTCGCTGTGTCTCCTCCTCCTCCGCCGCGTCCTTTTTTCTCCCCTCCTCCTCCTCCTCCTCCTCCTCCTCCTCCTCCTCCTCC